TGCTCAGCGGCGCCTTCATAGAGTGTTCTGTCCGTAAAGCGCTCTAGCCTGCCACTTCCCTCTGGCCTTTGCTCTCCTCGATGCTAAGCTCCGTGTTATTAGGGCCATCTGTCACTTCCCAGGTCCTCCTGAGCTGACTGCGTCCCTTACTTCCTTGGCGGCTCCTTAATATTTACTGCTGTTTTCTTCTCCTAGTTTGAGTTGCACATGTTCCTATGGCGGGCTATGCTGCTGTGCTCACTGTGTGTGCCCTGATGGCTTTTCTTTATTCCGCTCTTTCTCAGTTTGGCTGCTGTGGACTGTGAGTCACTGGCAGCACCGTCTTAGTGGATTAACTGGATCCTAAAAATAGTCCAGGCTCTCCTGCAAGCAGCAAATAAGACCGAATAGTCGGTCACTTAACTACTCAACCATATCTACTGTTCAGTCTGATAGAAAAAAAAATTCATCGATGCTCAGTGGCCCGAGTGAAGGCCATCATGCACCAGCCAGGTCTATGGACCAGTTGTAGATAGACAATATCTCACTACTCAGTTCTGATGTCAGCAGGCTTCCCCTAGGAAACCACGTCACCACACTTAATTTGGATGACCCATGTGGTGGCTCTGGACTGTAGTACCTGGGAAGGACGATTGCTTGAGCCTGGAAGTTTAAGAGGAGCCCAGGCATCATAACAAGACCCATCTCAAAAACAAGAGAGAGGAAATTTGTAGCTCTTCAACCTTTATGGGATATAAGTGTCCTCTATTTGATCTTATTCTTGATGAGAGGTTGCTTTAGACCACAGTTATTATGGCTTGGCTTTATTTCATTTTGCCTTAAGGAGTCACCAATATTGTCCTTGAACTCTGGACAAATCTGAACCCCTGTCTCTCGGACTCCTGAGTGCCAAGACTTTATTGTGTAAAGTGTTCTATTTAGAGACTGGAAGATAGCACAGTCAAGCACACCTGAACTTGATCCCTAGAAAGTCAAGTGCGGTCAAACACACTTTTCACGCTTTCTTTGTTGTTACAACCTTGTAATGAGGATGGGTGAGATGGCTCAGCGGGTAATGGCACTTAACACCCAGCCTGGCACAGTGAGGTCAACCCCCATAATCCACAGGGTAAAAGGAGAGAACCAACTCCCCCAAGTTGTTCTCTGACTTCTGCACATAAGCACCACACATACACATGATAGATAGATAGATAGATAGATAGATAGATAGATAGATAGATAGATAGATAGAGTTGTAAAAGTAAATTTGGCATTTTATTTATTTTAATTATCTGTATATGTGTGTGTCTTATATATGAGTTTATACATGTGAATGCAATAGGCATAGAAGCCAGAAGGAGCATTGACTGTCCCTGGAACTAACGTTATAGCTGCTAAGTGAGCCACCTGGCATGGGTGCGGGGAATCGAACTCAGGCCCTCTGGAAGAACAATACATGCTCTTAACCTTTGAGCCATATTTCTAGGCCCCAATTAAAACACACACACACACACACACACACACACACACACCCTTGCACTGTGTGCTAAATTTATTGCAACTGAGCCTGTATGAGCAGGCCATTGTTGACTATAGCCACAATTCACACTGTACCTTCTGTGAGTTCTAGTAAATGCATGTTGGCCCTGTAGCCAGCGTTCCAGTGCCATCCAGAAGAGATTCACCCCTCTAAAAGCCCTTTATAATTACCTGTTTACCCATATCCTACCGTCACGTCTCAGAGCACTAAGAACCACCAGTCTTTACTGTCCCTAGTTTTGTCCCTATCCAGAGTGGGTCCACAGTTGGGATCATGCAAGATGCTGCCTGTCAAGACTGGCTTCTTTCACTTATCAACATGCCTCTGAGGTTTTCCTCCGTGCATTTCTGAGGCTTTGACCACTCTTGTTTTTTGTTTCAGTGCTAAACATGATACCTTATGGTTGTTCTGGTAGCTTGTTTTGTTTTTTGAAGTATGGCATCACGGTGTAGTCTAGGCTGTGAGCCTCCTGCTGCAGTTTCACAATAGCGAGAACTGCATGTGTGGGCTACCAAAATAGATTGATTCTCATTCTCTCTCTCTCTCTCTCTCTCTCTCTCTCTCTCTCTCTCTCTCTCTCTCTCTGTGTGTGTGTGTGTGTGTGTGTGTGTGTGTGTGTGTATTTGTATTCACATGTGTCTGTCTGTCTTTATTAAGAATTGAATTCAGGGCCTGATACATGCTTAGCAAGCTACCTTGGTGACTCTGTCACCAAGCTACCTCTCCAGCCTATAATGTTAAGACATATGGGGTAGAAACTGTGTAAACAGTGCAGAATGCTTCAGCATTAGCTGCATGTCCATCTTGACCAACCACGAGCCTTCTAATGGGGCCTTCCCTTTGGAGTGTTCTGGGAGCCGTGCCCTAATCTGTGGTCTAGGGTTTATGTTTGAAGGTATCTGAATGCGAGGCTGTGGGTTTCCTGAGCAACCCTAAATTGGTTTCGCCCAAGGCTAGGTCGCGTGACTAGATGCTTTAAATAGAACGTTCACAGATCCTTTCACACTTCACCAAAGAGCTGGATAATTTTTATTAGTGATTTTCAAAAACTGAAATCAGTAGCTCCCTCTCTGCCCCTTCATTGGCAGAACTATGGAGTTCTCTGGTTTACTTCCCGTTGGGAACGTAGTCCTGCAAATCCTTCCCCGAGGAAAAGAGCAGACTGAACCTACCGGTGAAAAAGAATCTATAATTTCACTTCACAGGCAATCAGGAGTTCCCAGCTCAGTAATCTGACCCCCAAACAAGACCTCCTTTACTAAAATGCAGCTTCTGAGAAATGCGATGGCTTCTAGCTCCAGGCAGAAGCTGTATTTAAGAGATGGTGCTAACTTGGAGGGTGAGGGAGGAACGCTTGGCAAAGCAGAAGCCCTTCTCAGTTGGGAAAGCTGGGAGTCTCGGGAAGGAAGGAGAGGCACGCTTAAACAACAGACGTTTTGTTTTCCTTCTGCCCGGCTTTTGGTGAGATGTCCATATGTGTTTGTATGGATGCAGCGCTAATCTAAGATCGAAATATGCAATCAAACAGCCTAACTATATAGTGTGCGTCGTGTTTAGATATGGCAGTTGTTGACTAAGTTGTTACGGGAATTTTATGTTGTTTTTCACATAGCAGAGCTAAATGCAATGTTAAAAGCTAGTCCTTAGCTGCAATATGAAGGTGGCACATGACTACGAACCTGGAAGTGAGGCCTCATTGCTTCCATGTCTGGCTTCCTCCATCCAGAAGGGAGACCTGGAGGAGTTGTCTTCAGTGGAGTCGGTTTAGGAGGTTGTAGGAAGGAAGTAGGTGTGTTTGTTCTGAATGGGACAGGAGAAAGTGAGAAGGTGAGAGGGTAGAAGGTGATCAGCCCCTAAAATTGAGAGGTATTCCCCCACAAAGGGACTCGCTGTATTTAGGGGCTTAATCAAGACCATCATGGAAAATGTTTGCATCCCTGATACGATGGAGAAGGAAAGCAGGAGGGGAATTTAAGCATAATCCCATGAAGTTATGGCCAGTTCAGCAGCTCGCAGAAGAACTCTGAGAGGGACAGCTATGGCCCAGTTTACAAAGATGCCAATGGGGCAGACGTAGACCCTGAAGGAAGGACCGCTGTGATGGCTGTGATTTAAAATAAATTTTAAAAAGAAAAGTGAAGTTTGTCCATTCTCTTAAACAGTGCTTTCTCCTGACCACCTCTACTACTGCAGTGTGTTCCGTTAGAAGACAGGCATCTCTTCAAAGGTTTCCCAGACTCTGGGAATAGCAGCAGGCCTGTAGACAGACTCTAGAAGTACGGTACGAAAAGGGTGCATCAAAATGTAAGTGTTGTGAGGAAGATGCAGTGTCTGTAGAGGAAGGAAGCTAGGGATGGATGGCCACTGTACGGCACAGAATGTCTGCGAGGTGCTGTCTGAGGAGATGGGCAGGCAGCAAGTCAAAAAGAACCCCACACGTAGGGAGTGCAGTGCACAGACTAGGCAGGACGCGTGTGTCTTTGGAGTTAAAGAAACACACACACACACACAAAAGGCAAGGTTACTGTGCGAAGTGGTGGCAGGTGAGTCCTGTTGGGCTCGTTTTGGTGACATTTTTCTCCAAGTGACATGCTGGGCTTGGCCAAAACTCAGGTGGTGAGCGTCATGAGAAGTTACCTAGGCATTTAGAGGAGAAAGTGGTAGTTTATCTGTGATTTGGATGTGGGTAGGACAAGGTGATGAAGAAGAGACTGTGATTTCCAGGGATCTGAGCTGAACAACTTGAAGGGATGGGGAGGGAACAAAGGAAGCAGCAGCAGAAAGTGTTTCTCTCATAACTGAGGTTGAGTTGCTGATGGGACACCCAAATGGCTGTATGTTCAGATAATGGAGTAGCCAGTATCTAGCCTATAAGCTCCTGAGAAGATGCCTGTATCCCAGAAAACGAGGACCCTGCTTCATACAAGTCACCTTTCACAGTCTCTCACATTTAGTACACACTCACTGCACACTCAACGGGAATGTTAAGTCACCTCTTTACCATATTGTAATGCCACTGTTCAATGTAGGGTGAGATCAGGAGGCAGAGAGGAAAGGGAATGTTGGGTGTGGGGATGGGGTCTGGTCTAATACCTAGATTCACTCTCAGTTCCATTGGCTAATCACTATACTATAAGGAAAATGATTTTACTACTTACAAAATTAAAAGCTGAAATGCCGCTGCTCATCTCGCTAGTATGTTATAAGCACAAAAGAATACTTCTGCAAAGTCGGCGCATTTGACAAATAATAGGCTGGCCCTTTTTAACAGAGCCATTCTTCAGGTTCTTGAGGGTGAGTGCGATGCAGACATCCCCAACGGAGAGTTTGGAGCACGGAGTGGGTATCTGAAGAACTCTGGCCCCTGTGCACATGCATTCACACACCCTTACACCAGTGTGTGGGCGCATGCAAAACCCACACACGAACCATTTTCTAATAATCTCCTTCCTTCTCTCTCCCTCTGCCTCTGTCTCCACAGGTCAGTGTTGAAGTTTTGGTAGAGTATCCTTTTTTTGTGTTTGGACAGGGCTGGTCGTCCTGCCGGCCTGAGCGAACCAGCCAGCTCTTCGATCTGCCGTGCTCCAAACTCTCCGTTGGGGATGTCTGCATCTCGCTCACCCTCAAGAACCTGAAGAATGGCTCTGTTAAAAAGGGCCAGCCTGTGGACCCTGCCAGCGTCCTGCTGAAGCACGCAACGACGGACAGTCTGGCTGGCAGCAGACACAGATATGCTGAGCAAGAAAACGGAATCAACCAGGGAGGCCCCCAGGTGCTCTCTGAGAATGGTGAACTGAAGTTTCCAGAAAAGATTGGATTGCCTGCAGCACCCTTCCTCACCAAAATAGAACCGAGCAAGCCCACAGCCACAAGGAAGAGGAGGTGGTCGGCCCCGGAGACCCGCAAACTGGAGAAGTCGGAGGACGAGCCACCTTTGACTCTTCCCAAGCCTTCGCTCATTCCTCAGGAGGTTAAAATCTGCATCGAAGGCCGATCTAATGTGGGCAAGTAGAGACCGTGCCGGCAGCGGAGGCCTGGGCCTCCCTTGCTGTCTGTATCCCAATTACTGTACTGTAGGCTAAATAACACAGTATTTACATGTTATCCTATTACTTTAGGTTTGTGTTCTAACCTTGTCATTAGAGTCACACAGGTATGTCGCAGGAGACTGGTGCATTTGCATTGTCTGTGAGTGTCTGTTGAGGAGCTGGCGGGGTGAAGGGTGGTTAGAACCGTAGCCGTGGAGCTCCCGGGCATCCTAGGTGGCCCTGAATGTGGCTTGATCGGCACCTGCCTTCTCCAGCAGCACAGAGCCAAGGGGCATCAGTTCTCACTGGTTTCAAGAGCAAATTCAGTGGGAAGTGACCTGCAAGGGTGTCTGGGTGTGCCCCTGTGAAGGGGCGCATGGGTGCCATGGTGGCGAGTGACGGTCTCTCTTTCTCTGCCTCCCTTTCCCATGCTTGCTCACTCTCGGCATGGGATTGGGGGACCTGGGTTTCCTACATGCAAAGTCATCCTCAGGAACCCAGCTTCAGGGCATCATGGGGAGGCGTCAGATGACAGATAGGAAACTAGTTTCAAAGAACGTGGTTCTCTCCAACATATTTTACAATAAAAAGCAACTTTTAATCATATATATATATATAAATATTTCCCCCCATGGGGCCTGACTGCACTGAGATTTTTTTTTTTAAAGCAGCTGCCACACGTGGGATTTCATTTCTGCTTTACCAGTCCAGTGACTCAGTGACGTCACCAGGTGTCATGGTGGGCAGGGAAGTCCTTGCTCAGGTCACCCCTGGTCAGGGGGGTGGCAGTGGGGCTGGGGGACAGAAGGAGTACCCCACACTGATTTCTGTGCAGTGTTAGGAAAACCAATCAGGTTATTTGCATTGACTTTTGCTCCCAGGAAGAAAATGCGAGCTCCCCTCCAGAGAGAGCCAGGCAGCTCTCGGAGCTGAGCCGGGCAGCTTCTTCTCCGTCTTTTAGGTCTAGTACTGTTTCTAGTTCATGACTATGGACAACTCCGGTGCCACTTTCTTTTTTTCTCAATCCCAGTGTGACGTGGAGAATTAGATCTGGAAGACGCACACCTGTTACTATTCTTCAGCTGTCAAAAGTGCTGTGTGCAGACTTTTCTTAACCAAACACCTTGGTCTGTCAGTCAGCGAGAGTACTGTATCTAACTTGAAACTCTTTGGCAAGAAAAGACAAACCTAAGTTGCTTTTGGGTTTTTTTTTTCAACACTGTAACTACTTTTCAGCTCTGCAGGACTGCCCACGAGCCAGAAAAGCTCCCGTCTGGTGTAAAGGGATGAGTGTGAATGTGAGTGTGAACTATGAACTAGTACGTGACAGTAGATGACCATCAAGTACTACAGCAGGCACTTGTCACTTTGGTGTTGGAGAAAGAGCTAAAGGCACATGCAGAGTTGGCAGAGAAACTGGGAAAACACAGGGAGGAAAAGACACTCGTTTTTGTCCAGTGTTTTTAGGGTGAGCTCCTAAAGAACTTTGCGATTTGCACATCTTGAGATTTTAGTTTGTGTGATATTCCTGCAGTTTTTATCCAATAACGTTGTGGGAAAGTTTGGGGGGGGGTCGAATGAGCATAAATAAATGTAGCAAAATTACTTTCTAACCTGCCTAGACCCTAGGCCATTCTTAGAAGGTTTCTGTTCCTTTCAGGGTCATTTTGTCACCTGCCACATCTGTCATGAGAAGCCAGGTCTGAGAGTTTTTTTTTTTTTTCAGAATCACTGAGAGTTTCCCATATAGACATTTTATATATGTGAGCAAGTGGGTTTTTTGTTTGTTTATTTCTGGGGGAAAAGTGTTAATATTATTTTTCAGAATGATTTTTTTTTCTATTTGAAATCAAACCAAGATTTAATGTTTGGTACAAAAACCCAGAAAGGGTGTTTCATGAAGTCACAGGTTTTCATTCCCAGAGATCAAAGTATCATTTGCAGGTTCTGAGTGTGTCTTAAAGTGCTTTAAACCAAGTTTTATAAATAGAAGATTTTAAATATTCTTACTTGGTTGCAACTAACCCAAGTAAGTACTTATTTGGCTTTTCTTTTAACCATCGAAAAACAAAAAGGACTTCTAGTTCTCAAATTAGAAAAAAAAGAGACCTTTTCTCCCTTATACAACCCAAATGTTGGCTATCCAGTCTGCACTCACACAGAGGCTCTCATTGTGACTGATGGTTTTTGTTTTTGTTTTTGTTTTTGTTTTTTTTTTCTGGGATGTACCAAAAACCTTTGAGTAAGTTCAGAATAGCTGGCCTCTCCCTAAACTTCATTACCCTCCCAGCATCTAGCAGAGCTGGGCGGGCCCATTCTTGCAGTCACATTGCTTAGTTAGTGCTGTGATTTTTTTTTTTAATGTTTCTTTTCAGAGACCTTGCTTAATCTTCCATATATTCTGCTCAGGGCACTTGCACTTATTAGGGTTTTTTTTTTTCCTTTTTTATTGTTTGTCTTGTTTTAATCTTTGATGGTAAGAGGAATAGGAGGCCGTCACAGGGGTGCACTAATTACAGCAGCTCAGAAAACACATCCATCACTTTCTGGCTTACTTCGGGTATTGAACTGACTGTCTTCACTAAACCGACACTAAAATAGGTAAACACACAGTTCAGAGCAATAGGAATATCATAACTTTTGTGGTTCTATTTCAGGTATAGGAACTTTAAAAAATCATTGGTCCTTCTAAAGCATTTGTCCCGTTTCACTCGCTCATTCTCTTAGCATGTGCAATACTTTGTGTGCCAATAGTGAGCTATCTAGTTAAAGTTCATTCCCTTTGGGCTTTTTTCCTTGTTCTGTGGGTCGACCTTCCTTCCCCTTGCTGACCAGAGAAACGCTGGAGGGAAGGAGCCAGGAGAGGCGAGCCCGCTTGCTTTCCCTTAATGTGGATACAGAGTACTGGGGTAGGGGAGCTGTATCTGTCACCAGGACATAGCGCCATCCATCCAAGGAGACCAGAGGGAAGCGCGCTGGCTCGCTGAGAAGGCCCATCACTCTGCACTCTGCACTCTGCGAAGGCCCTTCACTCTATAGTGAACCTGGAATGCGCCAAGGAGGCGGATGGTTCCTAGAACACGCTCTGGAGCAGTGTGGGCTGCAATCAGCCCGCTTTTCAGTCTCTTCCGGGTCCTTGAGACTTTGCTCTCTGCCTTTGAGCGCCAACAACTTACTGCCTATGTGCAAATGTGCGTGTGTTCTGAGCTTGCCCACCGGTGGCTTTGGAGGGGACCACCTGGCAACCACAGCCACCATTTCCTTGTGACAGCTTTCTCCTCAAATAGGAAGAACACTCAGAGGCAGGAGCCACCTCTGGTTTGCAGACACGGGTGGGGCCCGCCAGACTCCTGAAGCAGCTGCGGTCACCCTTCCGTGTAGGGAGCACAGTCACGGCTGTGCCATCAGCATACAAGGATCAGCTACGCGCCTCTCTGTACCTGTCCTCTTGGCAATATTTTACCAACAGTTGTCTTTCATTCTCTCCTCCTGCTTTCCATTTTTTTAAAAAACAAATAACAGCAGGCCTTTTGCGTTTACAGTGGAACACACAATCACCAAGAAATGAGTCAGGGCGACAAGAAAACATAGTAATATTACTAATAAGAAACCAACAAACAAGAACCTCTCTTTATAGGGATTTCTAAATATATAAAATGACTGTTCCTTAGAATGTTTAACTTTAGAATTATTTCAGTTTGTCTGGGCCACCTTGGGGTCAGCAGGGGTGGGGTTGGAAAGAGAAGGCCATGGATGCCACTTACCTCAAATTTTTTTAGAAGTGGAAATCCAAATTGCATTTTTTTGGGGGGACGGGGCTTGCAGGATAGTTGTCTATGTTGGTCACATTTTGCTTTTCTCAGTTCTTCCAGCTCAGTTTGGGATGGCCTGATTTTTTTTATGGTGGTGGCGGCAGCAGAACGTCCTTAACTCTGAATTCTGACCTTGTATGTTTTCTGTTAGGTGAGCTTGTTGGGTTCCTCCCCTCCTCCCCTTACCCCCACCAGGAAGTGGCAGTGTCCTTCCTGCTCCTTTGCAAGGAACTCTGCGGAACCTTTCACACCTCTTACTCAGGGATGGGGCTGGTGTGTGTGTGTGGAACACGGACGTGTTCAGCAACAGCACTTTGGACTGCTCTGGAGTAGGGTTGTACAATTTCAAGGAATGTTTGGATCTCCCCGCATCGTGTGGATTGCTCCTTGGCTACTGCACAGATTGCAATACAATGCTGCGCGTTCAAGACGAACAGTAGCTCCTAGTGATCAGAAAATCCACTCTTTGCACATAGTTTGATCTTTACTGAAATATGTTGCCAAAATCTGTTTTTGTTGTAGCTTTGGGTTTTTCTTTTCTTTTTTTTTTTTTTAAGGAAACAATTGACAATACCCTTTAACATCTGTGACTACTAAGGAAACCTGTTTTGTAGATGCTTTTGAAGACACTAACACCTATTTCAGACATGGGTGAGGAGGCAGAGCTCTTGGGATAGAAAGCCAGATTTTTTGAGCTGTGTTGGTTGGCATGGCGACTGTTTCCTGAGCCACAAGCCGCTCAACAAACTGGTCTGTTCTCTCCTGGAAACCCTCTGCCCTTCCAAAATTTCCTAGTCGGTCCCCTTGGACGTCAGGGGAATGCAGGGCCCTGTTCTCCCAGGCCCAATCTAGTTTCTTTGGTGGTTGAGATGAAAGGCAAGAGAATTATACTTTATTTTCTGAAAGTGGAGCAAAGGACTTTGCTTCCATGGTTGTGTTTTGAACCCAGAATTTCTGAAATAGAGAATTTAAAGACAAATGGAGTAATAACTATAAAGAATCTACTTTTTTATAAAGCACATGCATATGACCTGTTGCGTTGGGTTGGGTTCCTCCCTTTTCCATGGACAGTGCTGTGTTTCTGTTCCTATGGCAACTCCAAACAGTTTGCACATCTTCTACTCTGGAGCTGAGATTCCTCTCACATAGATGACCTCGCTTCAAACGTTACCTTACTTACTGATAGGCTTTTTTTCTTGTAGCACTATACCTTGTGGGAAGTTATTTCTTTTCTTTCTTTAAAGTACACCTAATTTGAGCAGCCAAAGGGGGGTGGGGGATGGGAGGTTTTTTTTTTTTTTTTTTGAGGCACTCACTTTGGGGAGTACAGATATTTTTTTTTAATTGCACAAAAGAAAAATGAATGTTGAGATGATTTTCAGTGTTTGAAAGAGACAGATCTGTTGAAACCGTGAGTTTCATATTTTGTGTGTAAAAAAAAAAACAGGAGGGATGAAAGTTACATGTTTTGGGGTTTTTTCTTGTATATAGGAATTTGTCGTCTTGATGATCCAATTTGTATGGTTATGGCCTGGAAGAATTACAACGTCAGAGGCTCTTCAACTATACTATACCTATGCTTACTGTTCTGTTTTTGTTACATGCGGTTCTTGTGTGAAGAATGGGCAAGTGTATTCCACTATTTGAGGATACTGTCCATTCCTAGGCCGGAAGTACTTCTCTAAGTTCCCTTCTTAAGCCATTGCAACTTCTTTTCTTTGGATGATGTCTGACATTTTCAGCACTTCCTGTTCCTATAAACCCAAAGAATATAATCCTGAACATGAAGTGTTTCTATAAGGGATCCTCCTTCCCAGTAAGACAGGACTCACATAGGGACAAAAAGAAAAAGAAAAGGAGCTTTCCTTCTGCCTCCCACCCCATGCCTCATTTACATGGGGGTAAAAACATCAATTCCAATTTGAATGCCTGGCTTTCATTTGGATGTTTGTCAAGCAGAGGCCAGAGAAAAGGCAGAGCGGTTTGTCAGAGTTAGATTCCTGTTCAACAGTTGAGCTGGGTGCTTCAAATCGGACAGTTTAGGGGGTAAACAGACCCTAGCTTTGATTCTTAAATTTGGAGTTGGGTCCCCTCCCGTACTGTGTAAGTTCTTATAGCTGACACTCTCCTTGACAGAGGCAGAAGAGGGGACAGAGGCTTCAGCACTTTGTATCCCAACTCTTGCATACAGGAGCTTCGCCTGTATTCCGATGCCATGAGTTTGGACATTAGGTAGCATCTACACAAATCAGTCTACAAGAGCTTCCCTAACACTGTTGAGCTGCAGAACACCTGGAGAATGCCATCCACTCAATGTTTTCCTGTTCCTTTGCTGTCTGGATGGGCAGTCTGAAGGCCTGTGTGGGAAGAAGCACTGTTTACAGTAACCCTTACCGAGATAACGCACTGTCCCCTAGACTACCCAGCTGAGGTGACACTGGCTTAGAACTGTTGTCTTGAAAGATCCGTTACCAAGACGGATGGTGCCTAGGTTTCTCTTGGTTCTTACCCACGCCACCTACTCTGAAGTTATTCTCTAGACCAAGAGTGGTCTAGAGAAATGTTGAGTCAGTGAGGCATAACCCTGACAACCCACCAGGGGTCCTGGTCCTACTCTGTGACTACTGCCCCTCCCCCACCTGCACCGCTCAAGTGTAATCCCTGGTGGTGCTGACTGAAAGGGGTCGCAGCGGAGTCCTGTCCGTATTTGTGGTGGCCTTTCAATAAGACAGTCTTTCATCTCTAACCAGTAGAGTCCTGGCCCTAAAGGACCTGAGATCTGAACCAGCGAAGGTTTTCACATCAGGTTCCCAAACCCTCCCGTTTCCATTCATATGCCTCCCACAGGCCAAGGGGAAACAGACACCAAAACTTGGGCTGAGGGTACTACCATGTGGAGAACTAGGGAAAAAAAAAGTTTTTTGCACCTTATTGAAAAGAAACTTTTAAGTGCATACATAGTTAAGAGCTTTTATTGTGACAGGAGAACTTTTCCATATGCGTGCATACTCTCTCTGTAATTCCAGTGTAAAATGTTGTACTTGCACTAGCTTTTTTAAAACAAATATTAAAAAAATGGAAGAATTCATATTCTATTTTCTAATCGTGGTGTGTCTATTTGTAGGATACACTCGAGTCTGTTTATTGAATTTTATGGTCCCTTTCTTTGATGGTGCTTGCAGGTTTTCTAGGTAGAAATTATTTCATTATTATAATAAAACAATGTTTGATTCAAAATTTGAACAAAATTGTTTTAAATAAATCGTCTGTATACCAGTACAAGTTTATTGTATAATACTCGTACTAATAATAAAATAACAGTGCCAATTGCAAACCTGGGTCTTTGTCTTCTCTTGGGTCCCTAACAGAAACCGTGGCTGAGAGAGAACTGCGTGGGTTCCTCCTCACTGCCTCTGCCCTGTCACCTCAGTTCACCCTGGGGAGACCGGCGGCGGGGCAGTCATGTGAGGCGTGGATGTCCCTAATCTGCATCTCCTATCTGCTCACCGTTCTAGGTTTTTCTTCTCAAATGGCTGGCAGCTTTGCACCTTCTGTGACATTATCAATGCAGGCTCTGCAGCTTTGCTCCAACTGGTAAGTGACCTGGAGTTTGAGGAGTGTGTTTCCCCCACGGTGCGTGCCTCATGGAAACCTGCGGAGCAAGTCTTCTGGCACAAGAAGCCACTTCGATGGTTGTCTCGAGAAGACCGTGCACAGGTTGGTGTTGGGCTCAGTTTTGGAAAGATGTGGCTCAGCAGTTGCCTAGGTAAGTCATGCCTCCAGGAGCAGCCACCCCCAGGTATGTCCTGTCCTGCTCCCATCCACACCCGTGCCTATGGACTTCTTCTGATTGAAATCTGAGCTCACACCGGGGAGAAAGAGAATGCCAGAAATAGGTCAGAGTTCTCACGTGGCTGGGGAAGAATGGGAGCTCTTTGCTTCGGCTTTCTTCTTGGTTCTTCTTTGACCTATCCAATTAGGACTCATCCCAGCAAACCAGGCCTCACAGCAGCATGTAGCCCCCGAAACAAGGATTTGGGGTTCTCCATACTGTATTTTAGTGTGTGGTGGTGGAGGGGGAACTTTCATGCCAGGAAGCCTCAAGGGACCAGACTAGAAAGAAGAGCTGTTCCTGGTGTATGGTGCGGGCAAGCCCTCTGCTCACTTGATGAGATAACGAGAGACTGCTTGTGGCTAAGAGAACGCAAAAGGCTGAATAGGAAAAACACACAGCTTGCTGCTGTGTTAACTCTGAGGCATGCCTCGAAACTCGAAGAAGCATTGCACCAGCCTGAGACCAAAGGTACCACGTTCCCGCTTCCCTACTCTAGGGTTGTGCTTGCCTTTCCAAAGAAGATGCTCCCTGATATCACCTAGGAGGTAAATGCCAACATTGATTGCTCTGCTTCCCTGTCTACGGGGATGTGAGCAGGCAGCCTCGTGCTGTCACAGCCACCATCCCTCCCAATCCATCGCAGGAAGTCCCATACATACACGGACAACAGGACTTCTCTGTCCATGTTGTAGGAGAGGTGCCTGAGCTGAAGGATGTCCAAATAGTGGGTCCTCTAGGCCCATTACATCATGGACCTGCTACAGCAAAGGGAATGTGTGTTCTTTTGCTGAAGCCTCTGCTCCAAGATGATCCTGGGTATCTGGAGCTTTACAAGAGCTTGGCCATCATCTGCCTAGAACCAGATGGCAGTGGGCTGGCCTCTGGGTGTGTAAGGCCATTCAGTCTGCAACAAGGCTTATCGAGAACAGAGATGAGTAGCCTGGTTGCTGCGGGGGAAGAAAACAGAAGCCCAGGGCGGGAGCATCCTGGACACATGGCATGGCACCCTCAGAGCAATGTCCCCCACAGTGGCACATGCTGCGGTGTTAACACAGGTGATACATAGCTCATTACAACACCGGAGGTTTGGAGAAAGGCACAGGTCCAGACAGACCTTCCTTACCAGCTGTGTTAAGTCCACTTCAATGGATTTAAACGTTCCTTTTCTTCTCACTTATTCTAGGCTCATTAAACTGACTTCAGGGCTAAAAGATGAAACTCGTGCTCCAGAGAGGTGGCCCCTTGACCGAGGTGGGACAGAAAGGAAGTAGCGTCCTCTAGACAAGTGCCGCATCTCCTTGGCATTGCATAGCCTCTTGTGAAACGACTTTGTGGCGGTTAATCTTGTCGACCTGTCTATGTTTACAGTCACCAAGGAGATACACTCACTCTGTGAGGGGGTTTCCGGAAAGGCTTCACACTGAGAAGGGAAGACCCAACTGGAAAGTGGGGGGCACCATCCCATGGGCTGGGGACCTGGACTGGATAAAGGAGGTGGGGGAAACCAGATGGAGCATGAGTAGTCAGTAATCTGATTTCCTACTTTGTAAGCAAGCAGCCTGTGTTGCTGGTCACAGCCGCCAGCCACTCCCATCCTTACCCACCATGGTGGTCAGTATCACTTGAATTTCGAGCTAGAAGAAATCCTTTCTCCCTTAGGCTGCTTCTTCCAGGTGTTTGGTCATTGAGATGAAAAGAAGTAGTGAACGCATCCATCACAGAGTCCTCCTGAGTACAACCGTTCACATTTCTACAGGTATAAGAACAACTCTTCTGGCCTTGGGAACAGGGGTTGGAGAAGGGTTCAGAATGCAAATCTCCCAAACCAGTCTAGAAGTGGGCTGGCAATTCCCCATGTACTGGTGTGACTGGATCTTCCCTACAGCATCAGGTAGTGTTGACACCGGGCAATTAACTTGCCCTTGCTCAGCAAGATCAAGCACACAGGACAGACACACTGCAGGACAGCTCTCGGGGCTTAGAGGAGCCTTTTCCCAGGACACAGTCCCTCTTACCAACCAATAACATCCACTCTGCTGCAGAGCTACCTGCTTCTTCCTAGGCAGAATCAGTACAAGGGACTTCCTCTAACTCCCACTTTAAGTCCCTTTAGGCCACGGAGCCCTTGGTTTTCAGCAAGAATTCTTTATAGTCTCATAAAACATCTGTAGGACTTCAAGATGGTTCGTAAGCTCTTGGAGAGGAGCCAGCCTAGCTGGGCTGAAGCAGGAGGATGGCAAGTTTGGGGTCATCCTGGGCTAATAGCTAGATGCTTCCTGGATGCTCTTCCAGAGGACCCGGGTTCAATTCCCAGCACCCACATGGCAGCTCACAACTGCCTGTAACTCCAGTTCCAGGAGATCTGACACCCTCACACCAATGCACATAAAATAAAGTTAAAATAAATTAAAGAAGAGGGGCTAGCCTTCAGGTTAGGACTGAGAAGGGCAAGAAAGAGGTTTGGTGGGGTCTCTGACAAAACTATACAAGAATCTAAGACAGGACAGGCTTGCTAGCTACAAGCAGCTCCAAACAGGGAGACAAGGCCTGTTCCCAAGAAGGACTTCAGCGGGAGCATGGACAGGATTCTTCATGTCCATTGACCCTGCCCATTGCGTTCTTTTCTTTTTTTTTTAAATTTATTTATTAAAGATTTCTGTCTCTTCCCCACCGCCGCCTCCCCCTTCCCCCCCCCCCCCCCCAATCAAGTCCCCCTCCCTCGTCAGCCCAAAAAGCAATCAGGGTTCTCTGCCCTGTGGGAAGTCCAAGGACCACCCACCTCCATCCAGGTCTAGTAAGGTGCTGGAAACAACCTAGATGCCCTTCAATTGAAGAATGGATGAAGAAAGTATGGAATATATACATATTAGCGTACTACTCAGCAGTAAAAAACAAGGACTTCTTGAAGTTTGCAGGCAAATGGATGGAAATAGAAAACACCATCCTGAGTGAGGTAAGCCAGACCCAAAAAGAGGAACATGGAATGTTCTCACTCATATTTGGTTTCTAGCCATAAATAAAGGACATTGAATCTTTTCTTTATAGCAACAAAAGCTGGAGGCAGTAGGTGGGGTGTGAGTGACTTAGGCTCCTGCCACACCTTTTCCCCAGCCAGGTGCCTTGTGTGTTAACAATTGAGGGTCACTTACCTGCCTGGGGAGGCTTTCCCAACTCTAGCGACTCTATACAACTATGCTCCTGAATATGCAAACTCCAGCACTCAATCAAGACCACAGCATTCTATTAAAAGTGAAACCATTGTCCTTTAGAAAGAAAGCAAAAGTGGAAGGATAGGGTACAAAGGTTGGTTGAAACGAGGAGGCAATGAGTTCTAGGTGCTGGCCCAGGGCCCCACAAGCACCCTGCTTCTGGGCTCCACACTGCACCAGGGCAAGCCCCAAGGCCTCTGGGTGCAAGATCGGGACAAGGACTCGATGTCGGCATCAGCGGTGGCACTGTTCCACCATGCAGCACAGCCAGCCCACTGGGACAGACAAAAGGAGGACGGGAGAAGCATGGTGGGAGGTGGTTTCCACTCAGCTCAACATCTCTGCATCCCTGAGGTTAGCTGAACACTGTGTTGTGTTGCTGGGTCACCCGGATGAACGTCGCCCTCCTGCTGAGCTCTTTGAGTTTGGCAGCCCCTACATAGGTACAGGTAGACCGCAGTCCTCCGAGGATATCCAGAATTGTGTTTTCCACATCCCCTTTGTAAGGCACTTCCACAGTCTTGCCCTCAGAGGCCCTGGAGGGGGGAGGAAAAGGGGAGGAGGGTTAATCTGGTTCGTTTTCCCTTAATCACCCAGGTAGAATTATCCCCACTATAGCTTTTATTTTGTTGACATCATACATGCTGATGATGTATTTTGGTCATTTTTACTCCCCATTATTTTCTCTTATCCTGTTCCTGCACCCACCAAAGCCCCTCTCTTTCCTCACCACGGCCCCCTGTTTTCATGTAGTTTTGTTTTATTGATCTGCTTATGACCCACTGCATTTAATCCTTCCTTCCAGGTTGAGGGTATTGAGTAGTACACAGGCGCCTTACCAGTGGTCACACTGCTGAAGAAAATGACTGCCCCTCCCCCCCAGCAACCATTGGCTATAGCTTTTTGGAGACAGGTGGGGTGTCACGAGGTCTTCCCTTATATGGTGCAAGTCTGATCCACGTGACAACAGCTTCGGTGAGTTTGAGGCCAAGAGTGATGGTATATCCACAGGATGGTGTTTGACCCCACTCTGCCATCCCTACCAAGTCCCTAGAAGATGGTGTGTTCCTCGAAGCCTTGAGGAACTTCTCTACTCACTAAAGAAAGGAAGTCTTAGTCAGCAATATGAGACAGAGATGGAGACACCTGCCCCCACTGTCCCCAGGAGTGACATTCTCCTTAGCAATGCCTCTCTGCTGTTATGGTTCCTATTGGAACCGACCACCAAACAGCCAATACCCGAATTCCTCCCTGGGGAAAATAGACCCACTAGGCCAGCTCCATCCATCCCTTTTCACTGATAGAAAAGTCACAGAGATTTTCTGTCCTCAGCACCAGCCCTGTGGATGCTAAACGTCCTCACCATGGACAACACAGGTCTGCCTAGGACATACAAAAAGTCTTGCCCTGAAGATGGAGTGACCGCACCCCTGCAGCCTACCTGTCCTTTGCCAGGTTCTAGCGCCCACCAGCTCCAATTTGCTCCCATGTATCACCATACCTGCTGCTCAGAGCCAGGGGAGAGCTTTGTGAGTGGGGAACCCCCAAAACTTCAGGTGGCATCTCCACAGTCTGAGAGCAGGGCTTTGTCATTTAGGCTGGGCCTAAACACACAAACATCAAATGACATCATCCCAAGGCCACCAGGAAACCTTGGTCCTGCAAACTGGAGATGCAGTCTGCCCATGCTTTCGTGGCAGCATCACAGAGGGCGCAGACCAGGCAAATCCCAACAAGTACCCAAATTCTTGAACGTTCTGTGCCTAGTCATTAACTAGAAAAATAGAAACTCAGTCTGAAGCTCATTGTCTAGAATTCAAAATCCTACCTTAGCATCTGTGTTCCCAAGACCTTTCGTGAACTCCGGCACCTTAAAAACCATTGTCTGGATGGGCTGCTTGGTGGCTGCTACCGAGCAGAAAGCTCAAGAAACCAGGGTCACTGACACATAAAGATGGTCAGATCTCAGAACTCTGCGACCTGAGGCAGACACGTGCCCATGTGTGCCCACAACAGCTGCCATGGCGTTCTTCTCAGACGCTGCATGACCTTCCCAGATTCTTTCCCCTTTGCTAAGGTGACGTCATCTTTTGTGAGTCATTCACAGTTGGACCCCAACATCTGCTCATCTGTAAGACGCACATAAGTGCTAATGATCGACAAGCAGCTAGCCCAGCACTAATAACCAGGCAGTAGTTAACCTTGGGGTCAGAGGAGGGAGTCGTTTCATGGGACGGTCACGGTGAGTGCCAGAGAGACAGGAGCAGGCTAAGCTTGTGATGCTCAGGCTAACTGTGGGTGGAGGACCTGCAGCATTCTAAATGAAGAACTCTAAGGTCTGGATTCGCTTCCAGAACCGAGGCTCGGCGTTTAGATGGCACTTTCTTCCTGCGGAACTTCCTGAACGCCCTGCCACTGGATGGCTTCTCCCTCAGCTCCTGGCAGCTGTATTGTTGCAGCCTGCCCTGCCTTTCCCTCTCTGTTCTTTCTAGGACTTTCCGCAACAGCTGGGAGAGGGGGAAGTGTACTTCAGAGGGTGGCTCAGGTTCATCTCGGCCCAGCACAGACTCCACATGGCCCTCGGAAGGTAACTGGCTGCTGGTTAGACAAAGGGATTTTTGGCCAAATGTCCAGGTACCATGGAGGGAGGGGACAGGAAGCGACAGTAAGGAGTGTGCTCCACTTCTCACGGAGGCTGGCCCCACACCTTTGCCTGCCCAGTTCCCCTGCTTCTGTAACACCATGTTTATCAAGACTCCCGCTTGGAGGGAAATGACGGGGGCGGGGGGGGGGGTTGGGGGGGGAGATGGCAATTGCAGTTAGCTTCCCATACTCCAGAATATCCCACACCACTGCCGCTGCCTCTCAGTGGAGTCTTTCAGGACAAGGCAACACTCCCTCCCATTCAGCCACGTGCCCCTCCCAGACCTAGAATCACACCTCCAACTTTCCCACGCTTGCTTTCACAAATGCCAGTAAGATGGAAGTCGGTGCAGCATACAAAGATGTTGGGGGTGTTTTCTAGCACCCCCTCCCCCCACTTAAGGGGACTATGACACAGAGTAGCCAGCCAGACTGGTGGACGCAGCCTGGGCCACATGGCAGCCATACCTGTACTCAGCGACTCCCCCCGCGTGTTTCTTCATGGCTGTGTCGGAGCTCATGCCGTAGAAGAGTTTCAGCTTCTGCCCGTTCCTCTCGATCACCTCTCCTGCACACTCGGTGTGTCCTGAAAACATGCCTCCCAGCATGACGAAGTCTGCGCCGGCTCCTACATACCAAGGAATGGACAAAAGGATGGGTCAGAGCCTAAGCTAGATGAGACTCCATCTCAAACCAAAAACAATTCAACAGAATTTTAAGTGACCTTTATATGCTGCTCTTGGGTAACTATGGATATCAAATATGATGCACTAGTTGAGTTCACGTATTACAAACTAACCCTCCACCCCCAGTTTTCTAAGAGGGTGGATTCTGGGGGCGAGGCCTCTGGGAAGTCATCAGTTATCCACAGCCATGAAGATCTCAGTAGCTCTGTAAAAAACACTTGCTCTTCCCCCGTGTGATACCCTCTGTCAGGCTGTGGGACAGCAAGAAGGTCCTCTCTAGGGACCAGGCAAGTGCCATCTCTGTGCTCTTGGGCACCCCAACCTCCTCAGCCACAAACCAAATTAACGTCCATCAACAGATAACTAAACTGATTCATAATGGGTGCTGAGTAATCGGGGAAGGGGCAGGTCAACAGCAGGTGAGATGCAGCCTTCATGTCACTTATAAGGAAGGCTCTGCCCCTCGGGTATGCACTGAGTCAGCCCCACTCTGTTTCATTTATAAAGGGATGCTGAGTGGGGCTGGCCCCTGGTAAGCAAGGCACAGCATGGACTCCACAGGGTACTGTCAGCAGCTCCCAGACACCGATGATGACCACAGCCCCCCTGCTGTGGTTTTTAAGGGGACAGTGGCATGACTGATCTGGTCAAACCTCCAGATGAAGGGAGTCAGCAGCGGCACCCTGAGCACAGCTCCGTTAAGCACAACGGTTAAATGGTTCCTGGGGAGTTCTATTTCTCAGCACTCCACTGGCTTTCCAATTGGCCTTTTCTAGCTAAGGTCCCTCCCACTTCTCAGGGCATGCAGGGCTGCACTTCGGAGAATGTCGGAGGAGAGCTGAGCAAAGGGCCAGATCCAGGATCAGGAACAAGGTCCTTTCTAAAGGAAGGGGCTTTTTTAAATGCGTTCAGCTCCAAGTGCTGTGGTCCCTGGGAGATCGCAGAAAAAAGCACCACACACTACATGATGCTTAAGGATATGACCAAGAAAGCTAGAGTTCTCTCTGCCCTGAACTGTAGGACTATGACCATGTCATTCTTTTCTGGGGCCTCTGTCCTCTGGACCATAAAGCCAGGCAAGATGGAATAGACAGAGGTTTATGTTTCCTTCCACGGCTGACCTAGGCCACTTGGGTTTTTTATGGTATACTTGGGGTTGCTAAGAAATCCTGCCAACAGGAACTCTCTGCCTGCTCCTCTGTCTCTAAAGACAGAACAGGGGCTGGTGAGAGGGCTCATCGGGTTAAGGCACTTGCTGCCGAGCCTAAACACCTGAGTTTGATCCCCCAGACCCACATGGTGGAAGGAGAGACCGGCTCCAATAAGGTGTCCCCTGGCATCCACGTGCAGGTGCCTGCACACACCCAAGTATTAAAAAGAGAACTTTTGTTTTTATCACTAAGGAAGTTTCCAGTGTGCGTGCGTGCGTGCGTGCGTGCGTGCGTGCGTGCGTGCGGTGTAGTGTACCACTTAACAGTTCAGAGCTGGGCAGCTAGTTCTGGTTTCTATAAGGATTACGGAAAGTTAAGCAGCCAGTACAGGGCTCGGAAGTCCTGTTTTACCACCCTGCCTCTTTTGTTGAGATATTGGACAGTGTGGAGCAAAAACCAGGACCCCAGAGGCCCTATGAGCTCTGTTGGGTTACAGTGGGCACTGCTGCCCTCTAGTGGGAAGTAGGCTGACCAGCCTCCTGCCAGGATGAGGTGGGAACTCAGTCAGGTTGAGCCAAAACCACCTGGTGGTGTCTTCACAACAGACCAAGTACTGAGCAAGGCCACCGGTGCCCTGGGCGTTGTCATTCTCATGAAACCATCACAATTTGACCCGCTCCTGGCTGGCATTGCCTTCACCCCAGATCCCCATTCTGAACACCCAGCTTGCTCAGCTATAGACCTGAACCAAAACCGAGCCAGGATTTTGTCAGATGGGAATGAAATCCAGGCAAAGAAAACTCCCAATAAGCCCAGAAGCCCCTCAGGGGTTCCCGCTTCCATCTGGTTCTTCCGGGCTGCCCAGAGCCCCTCCTTCCCTTTTTCCTCCAATAACAGGGCTGTCCCTGGCACTTACCAAAGGCTTTGGCGACATCTCCTGGACATGTGCATCCTCCATCCTTCAAAGAAAGGAAGGAGAGGATCAGTAAGGTGGGGGCAGGGGACAAGCCAGACCATGCCTCACCCATGAGAATAAAGTGAGCAGGAGCCACCTTCCACCCCTAGCCAAGCAGATGGCCCAAGAGTCTGGAGGCTGACTTTCTAACTAAGGTACTACCCTTGGCACTTTGGCTCCCCAACCACATCCTTTCTCTGATGGCTAGAGACTGGCATGCTAGCCCCTCCTCCATCTGGGCTCAAGTACCCTTGTCTGGGGAGGAAAACCAAGTGTGGTAGACTAACCACTGTCCTCTGCTAGACCGTTATGTAACGTACCCAGCCACCCCATGGTCCCTGCTCCTTCCTACTCAGAAGCCACTCCTCCCTCCCTGCCTGGTGAAAGGTGAGATTTATTTAGTCTGAGTGCTAGATTATTTTAAGAGCCGAGAAAAGGGCATAGACCTGGCTTCTTTATCTTCTCAGCTGCCTTGTGTCTCCAGTCCATCGTGTCCTTAAATAAGAGCTCACTGCCAACATCTACTCTGCCCACACAACACAGGCTGCCCTCCTGGGCAGTGGGGATTAGCTGCAACCTCAGGCTACTGCAACCCAGTTTTAAATTCCTAAGATGTGGCTCTCACATGTTTCCTTATGAACAGACCCTAAATGCCCAGACTGCTACCTGATAGCTCCAACAGAGCCTGGATGATACAGACATAGGAAGGAGGGTGACGGTGCTCTGGGGTGTCAGGAAAACACAGGACAGCCCAGGAAGCAAAGAGATGAGATGGGGACAGGTGGGATAAAGTGACAGGGATGGAGGCAAGGCTCAGCACGGTCCTCCAAAAAAAAGGCCCAGCTCCAGAAGGTAAGAGCCAGCTATGTGGAGCTGGATGTTTGGGTTAGGAAGAGAACACAGTGTGCACCTGTGAGAACCACACATCTCAAGTTGGGGGGCAATTGTGTTCAAGTGTAGCAAGGCACTTTTTTTGGGGGGGGGGGTTGAGACAGGGTTTCTCTGTAGTTTCGGAGCCTGTCCTGGAACTAGCTCTTGTAGACCAGGCTGGCCTCGAACTCACAGAGATCCGCCTGCCTCTGCCTCCTGAGGCACTTCTTAGTGAACAACTCACCCAGAAATCAGTGGGCTCTGTGGCTCAGCACTCTTCTGTTTCACAGGAGACAGGGTCTCACTACATAGCTCAAGTTGGCCTCAGCTTCCTGAGTGCTGGGGTTACACCACACGCCCCTGTTCATCATTCTTTCTCTATCCCTTAACTGGTCCCTACACTCCAAGGAGAAGGGTTCGAACCCTGCTGCTTAGCCAACCACGCTGGTGCTCTGTCTTCGATCCCAGTGCTCAGGAGGTGGAGGCAGGAGGATTTGGAGTTCAGGGCCATCTAAGGCTATAGGAAATCATCAAAAAACACAAAGATAATATGCTTCCAGTCCCGATCAATGGGGAGACCTGGTTTGTGTCTTTCCAAATGTTTTCTAGTGATAATCATTTGTTCAGTCAAGTATGTTGTTCTTGAGTGGCTCCCATAAGGCCTGACTATTTGAGAGGCAGACTCTGAACAAGGTTCATGGGCAAAGCCCTCTGTATGACAACATGGGTAATCACACTGAGGTAAATAAAACTGATGTGTTAAGGGTTTGTGATGGAAAGGGATGAACTTACAAATACAGAGAAAAGACAGAAGCCATTGTTGATCCCGTGCTGTCTCTGCCTTCCTGGGTCTTCCCTCACGCTAAGCCAGTGCCAGAGCAAGAGAGGGAGCAGGCTTTCTCTTGCAGCTTACCAGTGGACACTAGCACCTCAGACCATGCCTTAAAGGCTGGTCCCCCAAAAGTTAACTGACTGACTGGAGTCCCACAACACAGCTGTGGCTCTGCAGTCACGTGACTGCATTCAAGCTCTACTGTGCTTGGTCCCCTTTCCTTCCAAATGTTTGCTTTCCGTGTGTCCCTTGCTTACCCCGTTCATTTTCTAGAGTTCTATCTTGAATCAAAACCAGCCCTAGGAACTGGAACCGGAAAGGTGGTTCGTCAGATAGGAATGAGAGTTATGCAAACCCTGATGACCCAAGTTCAAGTCCAGTCCCCGCAACCCATGCAAAAAAGCAGGGTGTGGCAGTCTTCACCTGTGATCCCAACACAAGAATCAGGCAGAGAAGTTCAGCTAACATGGGAGTAGCCTAGCGACAGCAACAAGAAACTCCCCAAAGGTGTCCTCTGCCCTCTACACATGTGCACAGATGTGCAGATACCCAAAATAAACAAAACTTAAAACCAGCTCTCTGCACAGAATTTCTAATCATAATCAGATTACATAAACTCATGCCTCCATTAGCATAGGTCTCCAACAGTGTGACTTTAGAATACTCTTTGCTCATTCGAGTAGCTTGGGGCTACACTAGGACTTTTCATGTGAGTGCCTGATAATTCCACAGGGTTGTGGTCAGGGCTGTCACCTGACTCAGAAAACCTGTGTTCCTGAGCCCTCAAATGCCTCAGGCTAGAGAGAGCTCAGCTAACTGCTCTGCCAGAGGACCTGGGTTCAATTCCCAGAACCCACACAGTGGTTTCCAACTGTCTGTACCTTTAGTTCTGTGGGATCTGATGCCCTCTTCTGGCCTCCACAGTAACCAGGCAGACATGGTGCACAGATACATGGAAGCAAAACAATTATTAAAAAAAAAAAAAAGCCTATATCCAAGTTGACCAAAGTCCTCGGTTAACATGGTTGCAAAACATCACAGTGTTATCTGTTCACACACCGCTGGTACACACACTTACAAAATGGGTGATGCACACCCGATAGGCCAGACTACAAGAAGAGCCGAGTGCAGTGCAAATTCACACGATGTGTCAAGGAGATGAAACTGGCACCTTCCACACTTTACAGGTAATCCCAAGCCTGTTCAAAGAATCCCACCGTGCTCTAGGAAGACTGAACATGGGGTGCTCTCCTGCCATCTAAGACACGTACCCACCTTCACATGGTGACAGTCTGCTGCCGGAAGACTGTAGAAAGAGCTAGCCCTGGGAAAATCTGCAAAGCAGTAACTGACAAGTGTTTCTTGTTTAGTCTTTCAGCATGGTTAACATGATATTTAAGGACAAAGGCATCGTGGGATGTAAGTGATTTGGTTCATAAGTTTTCAGTGGGCCTCTTATGCTTAAAAAGAATTGCTCAGGGGCTGAGGCAGTTACCCAGTTGGTGAAGCATTTGGTTCCTAATTGTGAGGTCCTGAGGGATCTTTGGGCTCACTTTCTGAGCTCTTGATTTAGTTGGTCAGGTCTGGAGTAAGGCCCAAGACTTTCTAACAAGCTGTCACTGCCTTGCAGAATGGCTGAGTTAGGCTAACTGTGATGTGATGCTATGCACAGAAGCTGGATGACCTCCCTTTAGTCACCTGGGAGGCACGCGTATGTCTACCCCACCATACCCCAATCTTTGGGAAGTTTGAAGTTCTTAGTCATAAGGATGGTGTCTGAACGAGCCTATAGTAAGACCTTGTCCTGGTTAGGTCTCTGTCAACCTTGCAATGGTTTTCAACATGTGGATTATGACCCCCATGGGATCATCTATTAGATATCCTCCATATTAGATGTTTATATTAAAATTCATAACAGTAGCAAGATTTCAGCTAGGAAGCAGTGATGAAATAATCATAGTCAGGGATCACCACAACATGAGGAACTGTATATAGTAAAGGGTCATAGCGTTAGGAAGGTTGACAACGACTGAGTTAAGTCTCTCTTCTCAGATGAGTGTATCAATTGAAAAAATGTCCCCCTAAGATCTGCCTGTAGGTAGGCCTGTAGGGCATTTTCTTGATTGGTTTTTGATGTGGGTAGGCCCAACTCACTGTAGGTGGTGGCACCCCTGTGTCCCTGGCCCTGGATGGTATAAGAAAGAGGCTGAGCAAACTATAGGGACCAAGTCAGTCAGCAGCACTCTTTCATGGCCTCTGCATCAGCTCCTGCCTCCAAGCTCCTGCCCTGACTTCCCTCGGTGATGAACTATGATGTGGACCTGGAAGCTGAAATAAACCCTTTCCTCCCCAAGTTCCTTTTGCTCGTGGTGTTCTATCACAGGTATAGAAATCCTAAGACAGATGTACTAACATGGTATAACCTCCTCTCAATTGCTAGCAGGAGCCATTCAGGACCTGTATGTGATGTGAGGTCAAAATATGTGACCCCTGATGGCAACGATCACTGGTAATGGAGACTTACAATCACACCTGAGGCTTTGGGGCTGTCCTTCTGCTAGGAGACGGTCCTTAACATCGCAACACTGGAGCAACTGTGATGACCTGACAGTATGACCCTTACAAGATCAGGCCAAGTCCTCCTAGAAGAAGGGGGTGGGGAGGGTTTGATGAGAGTGAAAGCCCAGCCACTCATGCCTTCCTGCCCAGCTGTGTGTGGTTTTGGATTATAAAGGACCTAAGAGGTTTGACTGCATTCGGAACCGCAGCCACATCAAGTCACATCTGAAAGGCGGTCACTCACATCCGGGTGGTACTTGGCAGTGATGCAGCTGTTTCTGACACACACACATCCTCCTCAACCATGTCCTTGTAAGCAAGCCCCATAACCACTGGCTCACCAAGCTGGCTATGGGTGGGATCATTTCTCTGTTCTGGCGTCTGTGCCTAATCTGGTGTAAACAGATGCTCGTTCCCCATCTCCCCTGGAAAAGTTATACAACCGGGCTAACCTCGGAAAGAGTTAACATTATAGAGTCCAGGAATGGGTTGGTATAAACACAAGCTTCTTGGAAGCATCCTCACAGCTAGTTCCTGACAGGGACTTGGAGTCATGGACAGACTAGAGCCTGGTATTCCTGGGTGGCTCCAGCTAGATTAAAGGCTCTTGCTCGCAAATGCAGATTTGTGATGCTGTCAGTGTTTTACAGTCTACTTCAACAAGTGTGTGCTCCACAAAAGAGCTGGACTCCACTGCCTGAGAATACCAAAAAAAACAACCGGACACATCATCTATCCATCCATCCACTCATTCATCCATCTCAGCGCCACAAGCAGGTGCCATGGTCCACCACAACATGAGCCCAGAGCGAGCCGCTCAACTCCCATACCTATCGCCATCAATCTGCATGGTGGTTCAGGGAACGGTGTGGAATAGGTGCACAGAAGGAAGGACCCACCGCACCTTGTCTTTCAATCCCTCAGTCCTTAGTAACACTTGATGGCTAATGATGGTGAGCAATGCCATTGTTCAGGAGCTCTGTCAGAACGCTGTCGCCACGCTCAACTCCTTCGTTCCCATGCCCTCCACAAGTGATGGGAGGTGGAAGCACCCACGGACCTCGGCTCACTCGCTCTTCCTGTCAGATGCCCCTGATGCAAGATCTGAGGTCCGCCTCTCATCTGCTCACCCTCCTGCTTCCTTAGCCATTCATAGATCCCCAAGACCAATGGGCTCCTCAGCTGCCAGGTCTCCAACCCATGAAATCCTCCTCAGTGCCTGTCATGTCCCTCAAAAATCAACATGAACCCACAAAACCAGAGTGAATTTTTTTCCTCAGTCATTCTTGTGAACCATGCAGCAGAATCAGACTCTTCCTCCTTTACCAACTCCACAAATACCAACTCCATTGCCAAGACTTAGTTCCGTTCCCTAAACACCCTTTGCGTTGGTGTATGGCTCTGCAGACTTGCTGTCCAGCCCTTAGTGGACGGCTTGGTCACCTCCAGTCTGATTGTACCTTCCCAGCTAGATTCCTCCCTCATCTGTCCCTTCCCAATCCTGTCCCTTCCCAATCCTTCCCAAAGGAGCCTGATTTGGTTGCTATAAGACAAGCCACTCGCCCTCTGCACTGACATCTTCGATGACTTCCTATTACACTCGGAAGAAAACCCAGCTTTTCACATGTCTCCCAGAGTTCTTGCCCACAGTGGCCCTGGAATTCATCTGTGACACACATTCTTCTGCCCCCTCCCAGGCCACCACTCCAAAATGGTGACTTTGAGGTCTTTTTAAATGTCCTCTTTTCTTGTTTCGTAAGTGTTCTTCAGCTCCCTTATACTATTTTATCTGGAATAAACCACCCCCCTTTCATATCACTTCCCAAAGCATTTCCCAACACCCGGATTTGAGATATGATGACCTATGTCAGCCCCACGCAAATTCATCCTGACATCCAAATCCCTAACACATGTAGAATGTGCAGTATTTGGAAAAAGGTTCTTTGAAGACAGCATGGTCCCTGAGGGCCAGCGCCAGGGCCACAGTCATGATCTCCCCATGGTCCCCACAGCTTCCAGACCCCCCCTAATACTTACAGAGATGATGTGCCCCTTGAGGCCATGGGCAGAGTCAGCGCACTCTATTACGGCACTCAGCTGGGGGTAGCCCACTCCTGTCTTGGTTCGGGTAGTGCACACAGAACCTGCACGGAAGGAGAGGTGGATGTAGGGATGGTTCGGATGAGTAGAACACAACATAAAATGATGCCCTTCACCGTCATATTGCCCTGCCCTAGTGAAGCCGTGAGCATGTTTGCAGGATAACTGCTTGTAGTTACAAGGTCTCACTATGGGGACCACATCACTGGCCACATGCGCCCCTCAAGTCTTCACTACCATCCTCGGCAAATGTCCTAGACATCATCTCTCACAAACCCTCAGTGCCCCTTCTGCTGCGAGGTCTACTCCCCGGCAATGGAGGAACACTGGCTCTAGCTTCCTCTCTCTCCCACACATCCTTCACTCTTCCACACACACAGATTCCACTTCCAGAGTCCACTGGGAATCCTCCCAGCTACTCTCCACACTCCACTGCTCAGCCCAGGAGGCTGGAAATCCAACACCTACCTGGTGTGGCTATAATGGAGCACATTTGTATTAGGGAGAAGAAGGGCCTGTCCCTGGACCTGATCTTTACAAACCCTCGGAAGGAGGAAGCCCTATAACTGTTTTTCTATTTATTCAACCCTGGGCCAAACATAGCCCAGCTTCCATTCATCTCCTTGGCCTGAGTCCCCACTCAGCCCAGACCTGAGGTCAGCTTGGCTTCCAGTAGTCATGCCAACACATGGATATCTTTCTCCCTTGCCTCTTCCTGTCCCGATATCCCATTCAGTCCTGGTTGTGTTCTCTTGGGTCCAGGAGAACACCAGTATCCTGATCCTATGTCGCCTGTTACCACTTTAATCTCATCTTATCCCCAAAGCAAGTGAGTACCCACCTCAGTGCCCCACCCGCCTCCCATCTTATCTGCCCCCTCTCCCTGTGCGCTTACCACTGACTTTTCAGCAAGTTTCTTCTCACCTCAGGGGTTCTCTATACTCTGAGTTTTTCCCTCCCCTCCCCTCCCCATCCCCTCCTCTCCCTTCCTTTCTTCTCTTTTCTCTCCCCTCCACCACCCACCTAACATTCCCTACTGTCTAGGCAACCCTTTTTCATTTGTCAAACTTCATCTGAAATGTCACTGCCCCAGGGAAGCTGCGTATTGCATTGTCTTTTGAGAAGCCCGCTTCAATTATTATTTGTGTAGGAGTTCTGGGGACTGTTTTCTCTGCTGGATAGTGAGCTGTGGAGATTTCACCCTCTCGGCTAACCTGACACGGAGAAGGAGCCTCTTGCCTGAGAGCGCTATAAATAGCATGGAAAAAAAGCAGGGACTCAAGCCTGAGTGAGTCACCGCCACCCTCCTGCTCTGCAGCTTGCTCACCTCCTGCGGCATGTCTTGTGGGGTCTCCGTGTGCTGCTGGAGGGGCAGACCAGGGACTGTTTATCTTGCTCAGAAAGTTATGCAGTGAGGAAAACCACAGGAAGACAGTCGGGCTTGAAGTCTTCCTGAAGTTTAGAAGCCCTCATGCTTTGTGAGCAGACGGGGCCGGTTTTCAGTCTATACACTGACAACGGGCTAGGTCACAGCACAAGAGGTCACCTGCCTATGGCAGCACTCACCCACATGCCCCTTACAGGAGCTTCCTCTCTGCTTCCTTTTTAAGATTGTCTTTTGGGGGCAGAAGGTTGTTATTTTTTAGTGAGGGGGGAGGGACAGTGTATCTGCTGTTATTTTTAGTCCCAGATAAAGTATCTATCTTCAGGTTTTTTTTTCTCCTTCTCTCCAATGCTAGTGTCTGGGTAATAATGACTGTCCAGGGCAGAATTTTAAAACATGGCGGTGAGAATGCATGCTTGGGTGTGGGAAACAGGAAGACAAACGCCAGCCAGGCCCAGAAGAAACAGCTACTCACAGGTTAAGGCTGAAATGACTTTAGTTGGTCCCTTTGTTCAAGAGGCCCTGCGGGTGGCCCTAGTGTCTAAGAGGTGGATTAGTTATCAGGTAGGGAGTCAATGTGGGCCACAGGTCATGTTCAAACGTCGACGCTTAGTCACAGGCCTGTCTACAATGTTTGGGGTCCTTCCAACACTCACATGAGCCTAGGCATGCTTGTTCGTTCACCGTCCTCATGTATTCCCTAGCCCGACCTTCCTCTTCAGGGATCTGCACAGCCTGCTCTTCCACACAAACATGCTGAAGCAGGGCCTCAAAAACTCAGCTACGTGCCTGTACTGGACTTTCTCTGGACCGCCAGCTCCCGAAAAATGACATGGAGACGTTTTATTAATTATGAGGTAAAAGAGACACGTCTTCACAGTGTACAAAAAGATTATCCCTCAGCACGTGCCTGCTCATGGAAAGGGTCATCAGGAGCAGCTCGGGGACATCGCTTCATGGAGACACTCAGTGATCTTCCACAGAATGGTTCCCATGTAGCCACCTCCAGAAGCCCAAGCCCCAGTAGCCTGCTTCCCATAGACAGCCCTCCTTGGATCAACCAGTCTGACCCAGTCCCCTGCTCCCCGCAGACAGCCCTCCTGTGATCCTATAAGTCAGACAGCCCTCCTGAGATTAACAGGTCTTACCCAGTCCCCTGCTCCCCGCAGACAGCCCTCCTGTGATCCCATAAGTCAGACAGCCCTCTTGCAGTCAACAGGTCTTACCCAGTCCCCTGCTCCCCGCAGACAGCCCTCCTGAGATCAACAGGTCTTACCGGGTCCCACTCCCACTTTGATGATATCTGCTCCAGAGAGAATGAGCTCCTCCACCATCTCGCCTGTCACCACGTTTCCTGCCTGTGACAAGAAGAACACAGCTCTCCATCACAGGAAATGACACTCTTGGGGGTGGGGGTGAGGTACAGGGGTCGTGGGGTGGCCAGTGGGAAGTTTCACTCCTGACCCAAGGGTATGTGTGTATTAAGGCTACCAGGGTTCCAGGAGACAAAAAGAAAACACTACATCCAATTTTGAAGGTGGTAAGTCTGGGAATCAAGTGAGTATGTTCCTGGCTTTCTCTTCGCGTAAATTCCAATGCAGAAGCTGATACCAGGAGATCCCTTCTGGGAAAGTCACCTGGGTGAACTAATGATATACGAAGCTACAGGAAAGCAGAATTTTTAGAAACATAGAAAATCTGAGGGTATACAGGCCAGGCTTAAGGAACATCTCAACACTGGTCAGATCAAAACAAAATCTTCTAGGGAACCCCAAATCCATAAGCAATGAAACACAGTGAGCTGATCAAAACCCCCTTAGCAATGGCCATAAGCTACTTTGGCATCTGTGAAAGCCCTGGAGAATCTCTACAGAACCCAGAAAGTCACGGTTAGAAAACGGATCTTCTCGTGATTGAGAAAACACCCGAGGGCTGGGGTTCCCACCTTGGTAGAAAAGGGCAGGCAGGCCCTGCTGGGCCATATGCCCCTGGGCACAGGCTCTGTCTACAAATGGAGTGAAGCCTCGGCCCTAAGAATAGACCAGCAAGCCAGGAAGTGGCGGAATCCATCAAGCGCGAGAATGCATCTGCTCTGGAAATAGTACAAGCTCTCTGACTGCAGGAGCTTGAGGGAGCAAAAAATAGGCCTTTCATTACAACTCACTGCCCCCATGGCGTCTTCAGCTGGTGCTCAGGATGCCTGGCAACCTGCCCTGACTGGATGTTCACAAGCGGGCCAAGTCCCATGTTGCAAAAATGCAGCCTTGCTCGTTGTACTCCCACCAAAGCCCAAGTGGCCTTTCGCTAGATTAACTCCCTGAGGGAAATAATCTTCTTTTTTTAAAAAACTTAAACAAAATAACTTGAACTTCACAGAAGAAGGTTGTGAGAAAGAGGTGCTGAGGCCAGCTTGAATGGAAGCCCCAGCTGCCAACAGAAAAGGATGGCAGATGTCACAGAAGGAGGATTGGGACAGGGTTAAAGGTAGCGCTGTTTTCCTGTAAACTCAGCTGGGGAGTGTAAAGGCAGAATTAGAACCATCTACACAAAAACCAAATGCATGAGAGTAGATGATCCAACCAACAAAGAGCCAGCTAGAGAAAAGCACGTGTAGCTGTGACAAAGGGTGACCGGCTGGAACATATGCAGAACTCAGAAGCACTATAAGAAAAAAAACGCTGATCTAATCAGAGAGTGTACTCAACTTCAGTAATAACAAAAATTAATGTGCCAGTGTGAGCCTGATTATCATATATCAAATCATCAGTGGTTATAGACATAAAATACTAAGAAGAAAATATCACATAAGCTCTCGCTACTGGTGAGATGTCCTTTCTAGCATAGGTTTCCTGGAAAAAAATTGAGACCACAAAATAGGATACATCCCTTGTTCCATGAGCTCCGAGATTCTCTCTCAATGAAACCATCACAAGCATGACCAAAGAGTTAGCCACCAAGATGTGTCCTTCCCAAAGTGAAAAACTGTGAATCTGTCCCACAGGAATGGATCATCTGGAAATCACTGAGACTCGGCTCAGACAAAAGAAGACAAGACCATATCAGAAATAGATATAGCAATTGGGCTTTGGCGTGAAGTTTCCAGTTCTGCACAGGTGGCCCCTTGGTGGGCAGGGAGGGGCTGGTCAGGGTCATTAAGTGAGTGTGTTTTGTGTCAATACAAAGCACCTTGTGTAGGGAGTGGACACAGGCTTGAGAGTGTGACAGTCCATTGGTAGCATGATACGCCCTGTGTGTGATAGTTTAATGCCTGTTCACTTCCTGGACTATGTGCCCTGATCTGAGGCACAGAGACAGGCAGGAAGCTGTTCCTGTCAGGCACCCCCACTATCCCAGGGTCATGAGATACCCAAAATATCCCGAAAGCTCATAGGCAAAGGCTAGGTCTACAATGCAGCAGTATTGGCGGGTGGGACTCGGGGGAATTGAGGGTGCTATTGTCTCAATAGGTTCATCCATTGATGAATTCCTGACTTCTCAAGTTCTTTGGGGGGAGGATGTGGGAATTTCAGGAGACCAGAGCCTGGTTAGATGAAGTGGGTGCTGAGGACATGTCCGTAGGGTGTGTCTCATCCCTAGTCACCTTCATCTCCGAGTCTCTGCTTCCCTATGAGGTATGTGGTTTTACTCTACCAAATACACCCTGCCATGATGTTCACCTTGACACAGACCCAGAGTTATATGACCATGACCTGCAATTTCTGAAACCCGAAACCAAAACAAACCTCACTTTTTCTCAGGATTTTTTTTGTTGGAAAGCAGATTAATAGACCCAGGGAAGCAAGGCAACTTGCAGCTTCAAGGCCCTAGTCAAAAATGAAATGATGCCCGGGCCTAGTGGCACACGCCTATAATCCAACCAATGTAGGAAGGCAATCAATAGGATCACAAATTTAGGGCTAGTGGAGACAGCTTAGTGAGGTCCTGTCTCTAAATATTAACAAAGATGGCTGAGGGTGTGACTTAGTATAACATTCATCTAGTATTTTTAAAGGCCTGGGTTCCATCCAGGGCTGAGGGGAGAGGGGGGCAGAATAAAAACATCCCTGTCTAAGCATATGAAACCATAGGTTCAATGCCCAAAAATGAAATTAAAAAAGAAAAAAAAGAGGGGAAAAGAAAATAGACATGCCAAGTCTGTATTAACCCAATTAAGAGCATCTAGAATGATGAGCAGGAAAATACTGAGGAATAGTTAGCCCCTCCCCTCAGGCAGCACCTTTGCCTTCCCTTCCCCAGTTGGCCAGGGGTGAACAGCAAGGCAAGGAGCCCTGGCCTGGTGCGAGGCCAAGAATTGCCTGCTTGGGCAATGATTCTAAAAGCACTCAGCATTCACCTAGTGCCCTTCAGCTCGAGAACACCGGGCAAATGCTAATTCCTCCCCACAGTGCCTCTGGAAGCCAGAGAAGAGAAATTAACATTTTCCAAACCACAGAGAGCCAAGGCATGAGCGTCAACTGGAGGTTTCCGAATAAACGGCAAATTCCAGGGGTCAGCGCAGGCAGTGAATAGCTTAGGAGTAAACATCTACCTTGCCAAAGTCTTCAGTTCATTGCTGTGGAAACCGAGCAGAACCACGAAACTCCCCCTGGCCAGCCAGCAGGCACTGCAGAGTCCTGCTGCTGGAGGTTGCCTAGAGGCTTCTGGGAACTTACTACCCACCCCCTTTCTGCCTGGCTCCCGCTTGGCAACCCCTGGCTGTGCACTTGCAGCACGGGCTTTCCCTGTTTCCCATCCTCCACTCCTTCCTGTCCTCCCAATCTCCCCTGGCCTTTGTTCTTGAGCCTGGCACACAGTTCACCTCAGTCTGCAAACAGGCCAAGTGCGGCCCTCACCACCAGCCCGCCGTTTTAAGCTTGCAATATCTTGAGAAGTGGGGGCCTATCTTTATTTCTGTGTGCTTGGATGTGTGTATATGAGAACGCACATGTGTGTGCCTAAGTGTGGGGGCCAGAGGTCAACCTCATGACACCATCCACCTTATTCTTCACGATGGGGGCCTTTCCCTTTTTACCCGATGCGCTCCCATTCAGCTAGGCTGGCTTACCAGGGAGCTCCAGGGACTTCCCTGTCTCTACCTCCCAGGCACTGAGGTCACATGTACCCATTTTTGTTTTCTTTTTCTACACAGTTTCCGGGACTCAAACTCAGGTCGCTATGCTCGCATGGCAAATACTCCACCAGCTGAGCTATGCCCCTGCCCTTTCTCCAAACTTCTTAAAGCAATCCCACTGCCCAGGTCCCACCTCTCTTCCAGGAGTCACTACTCAGAGGACAGGCTTTCAATGCAATGTACTACCTAAAAGCAACTGAGCAACTACTGGGGTTTACTGTATGGGGAAAAAAATAGCATGTGCTATGTGACCCCCACAGTTATTCTCCATTTCTTAGTGTCCTAGTGTCCTCAAACTCCTTTTCCCTTTTCCTGTAGGGCTCAGGTCATGAGCCCTTGGACTTCAGGGATGCTGTGGTCTGAATGTCTTGTGTCCTCTCGAATGGCGTAATCCTGAAGCCTAAGCCTCAGGACACTAAGATGAAGAAATACGGCCTTCAAGAAGGTGCTCTCATAAATGGGATGGCTGCTCCTTCGAGGACTGAGGGAGCACATGTGGACGTGTCTGCAGTTAGGATACAGCTACAAATCACCTATTCAGGAGCAGAGTCACCAGACAGGGACAGACCTTGGTCCTGGATTGTCCAGTAAGTTTCCGCTGTTTATCAGTCACTGGGTATATAGTATTCTGACAGCAGCCGGAATGGAGTCGGACAGGACACTGGGCTGGAGAGTTCAACAGCGCTGCAACTAGTTCTCAGGTGGAGACAGAAGACTGGAGCCAGAAGGGCCGCTAGGCAGTAGTTATCACAGACCCAGCAGAGAAAACAGCAGGGAGGGTGTCAAATGCATTACGGGGCCAAAGATGACATGGACGGCCTGGCCATTCACAGAAAACTTGAACCAGACTGACTCAAGCGGTGTTCTTTAGAAATGCGTAGGTGGCAACATCAGACAGCTGCCAAGCAGGAAGCAGTCACTATGAGAAAACCTGAGGTGAGGAGTAGGGGCCTCCGGGTATAGGGTCACTGAAGTAGGGCTTATAACTCCCTATTAAACGTCCCTGTTTATGCACTGTTCATAATTTATAAGGTTACCAAAGATGTGAAACAGAACCACTAAGCCACCTCCTTAAGCCTGTGTCATTTCCCACTAATCCTCTGTAAGCAACCTGCCCACCACAAGGGCAGTAAAGGGAAGCAGTCTCTCGGCCATTAACCCTCCATGTTCGCAGAGCAACTAAAGCAGGGGAGGTAGATCTCACCCCTCCAGACTCTTCCAGACCCCTGCAGACCCCTCCGGATCACAGCAGCCTTCTCTCCCTGTCTCATGGAAGCCACGAAGGGCACTGTATCTCCAACAAATACATGTTGAGATTTCTCTATGTCTGACCTGGCATCAGAGAAGTTAAGTTTACTGTCAAGTGCTATTCACGGTCACCACATCCCCGCTGGGGATCAGGGCTTCTCTCCTTCTGGAATTTCAGATTTCTCTTCCCTCTTTCTAGTGGCCTGGAAGAAAGGTACCACAAAGGCTAGGGCCGGGGCGCCAGGTGTGCCTGAGTGGTACTGGGGCACAGGAAGGGACAGCAACTTCACCATGCTCCAGTGCAGGCCCAAAGTCAGTCCCCCCAACTAGTGTACCTTTTACCCCATACTGCGGTGGCAGGTAGACAAGGACAAGGGGATGTCACCAAGTCTAAACGTACAGCATAGCGGATGGGCTCTCCCTTCAGGGCTTCCTTCCAAAAGCAGTTTTGTTTGTTAATGCAGCATTGATTATAAATCCCCAAACCTAAAAACAAATCTGAGATTTTTGGTTTTCAAATTTATTTCCTTTTATTTTATATGCCTTGCCTGCAGGTACTTCTGTGTAAGAATGATAGATCTTGGAGTTAGAGACACACAGTGGTGAGTTGCATGTGGGTGGGTGCTGGGATTTGAAACCAGGTCCTCTGGAAGAGTGGTCAGCCATCTCTCCAACCTCACAAATCAGAGTTTAAGATTCCTGGTCTGTAGTAGATAACTGTTCCTAGTCTTTACCAAAATATTGGAAACAGGAGAGGAACCTGGCATCTCCCTAAAATAGGCTGAGTATTTATGGATGTAGGGGAAAGCTAAACTCTTACTCTTGCATGCAACAAACACATGGGTGTCCTCCCAAGCCTTAAAGAATTTCCAGCAGAATGTCCTACAATTTAACTCTGTTCAGATGGTACCTGGAGATAGTTTCAGATCCCACAGATTGGATGGAGACGGTGTCAGATCCCAGAGATTGGATGGAAATGGTATCGGATCCCAGAGATCTGATGGAGATGGTGTCAGATCCCATAGACCTGAGCTTAGTCCCAACCCAGAGCAGTAGGCTACCTGTAGCTCCTAGCTATCTTGGTTTTAAATCCAAGGTTTGATGACCGCCTTCTCAGGTCATTGGCTGGAGCAGCTCACAGACTCCCACACAGTGGCTGGCTTTCTAGCTCAGCAAAGTCTACAGAGGATGTAGAGAAGTCAGATGAAGATCTGTCTCAAGGGAGGGTAAGACCTAAGAGGAGCTAGGTCAAGAATCTGTGTCAAAGACTCAACAGAGAAAGATGCTCCTGGCATCTTGATCATTAAGAAGTCAATCTCAGGAAGTAAATTGCAAGGGTATGAAGGGGCTCCCTAAGGGGTTCAGGTGTTGAAGACTCAGTCCTTAGCTGGAGGTACTGCCAAGAGGTGACTGGATCAAGAGGGTACCGACTTCACTAGTGAATTAATTCACTAATGGGTTCACAGGGAGGCAGGCTACATAAAGTACTGAGACCACACTGAAGAAAGTATGTGGACAAGGGCATGTCTTTGAAGGGGAATACCTTGACCCTGACCCAATTTCTTCCAATGAGGTGGTTTCTGTATTACTTAATCTTCTGTTGCTGTGATAAAGCACCATGGCCAAAAGCAACTTAGCAAAGAAAGGCCCCTAAAGAGACACTGAACTCCACTAGCAGAAACTATACTTTTCTACCAACTTCCCGACAGGGAAACGTGAGGCAAACAGGCTTGAAAAGACAGAGGTGGCAGGGGTAAACCAGGCACTGGTCATTCCCACATACCCTACTAATGTAGACCAGGAAAGACAGGTATAAATACAAGTTTTGTCCCCCTAAAGTCCAACTGTAACTCTAGTGATGACCACCTGCTTTTAGCCTTGAAAGAATCAACACAGCTTGAGTGAGTAAAGGTACTAAGAGTTGGGAAAATATGGAAAAGTCACCAAAGGTCTTCGATATAACGCTGTCTCAGCCAAGCTACCATCATTTATTGATTCTCATAAAATTACAGTCACTGAGTCTAACCCTAGTGGCACAGCTTTCTGCTGACGAGCATGGGTGGGGTGGAGGGCAACATGCTGAACTGAAAGCCTGGCATGTGCTTCCAGTTTTAAAATAAATACATTCTACCAAGAGGTGGTGAAGATCCCCCTCTCTTTTTTTAAAGGTCACATCTGGTAACAGACAATTTATCAAAACTAAGGAGCCAACATCCACCATGTTAACCAGGACTCTATTCATTTTTCAAAGGCAAGCTGGTTCTTCAGGTCTTCCATTTCCTGGGGATTCACAACTCTAGCAACAAAAGCTACGCAAAGGCACAGACCCCTCCCCTAGTACATAGCTGGCTTCCTTGAGGGTCTCCCATCAAACCTACCATGATGGTGTGTTCAGGAAATTTGGATCGGACCAGTTTCACGAACTCCACAAAGTGTTCCGAATACCCGTTGGCCACATCCAGGCAGATGAACTTCACCTGCGGCACGGCTTCCAAGATGCGGTTCATCTTCTCCAGATCACTCTGCCCACTGCCCGAGCTCACGGCTACATGCTACGGCAAAGGGAAGCAAAGAAGGTGTCACGAACGGCTATATTCAAAGGAAGACGCTCCTCCATCCGGCCACCCTCAAGGTTTACCCTGAGCAAACACGGAGGCTGTGTTCAAGAAACTTAAACAGCAGCAGAGGTAAAAGGAGACCTGCTCCTTCCACGGTCAACCAAAACTTCTGGTTTTCTTGCCCACCCTTGACTTACACCCATCCCTGAAGCTGGGACTCAGCAACAAAACCTCCCAGCAAACACATTTGGAAATATTCAAGACCTTGTCTTCAGCTTCTTCTACTCAGTTTTCTCAAGCTTGCTGGGTAGAACTCTGTGTTGTACAGCTACTGATGCAAACGTATCCTAGGGGGAAACCTTACAGAAGGGCACCATGGGACGTTTCCAGAAAGAAAAAGTGTGGCTGGATATGGAATATGCCTCAACTGGAAGTGGGCTGTCAGTGATTCTCTTCTACCGACTGAGCTCAAGGGCAGTCTGAGCTACACCATATACTAAATGATTGTTAGTATTGTCAACTTGAGAGACTCTAGAATGACCTAGGAGTCAGGCCTCTTGAGCATGCCTTTGGGAGATTACCTTGTGCGCAGTAATTGAGGTGGGAGGCCTGTGGCATCCTGAGATATATGTAAATGGAGCAAGGGGGCTGAGCAGCAGCATGCGTTCATCACTCTAGGCTTCCTGACTGTGGATACATGTGACTCGCTGCTCCAAGTTCCTGCCACCTCGACCTCCGTAGCCTGACAATCTGTACCCTTGAACTGTGGGCCACATTAAATGTTCCCTTAAGTTGCTTTTGACAGAGTATGTCACCACAGAAATAGAGGGGGAAAAACTAAAACATCATAAACAAGTAAATAAAACCAGGGCCTGGAGAGACAGTTCAGTGGTGTCGAGTGCTTGCTGCTCTTACAGAGGACCCAGGTTTGGATCCCAGCATCCCACACGAAGGCTTACAACCATATGTAACACCAGTTCCTGAGGATACAACACCTTCCCCTGGCCTCTGTTGGTACTAGGCATACATGTAATGCACCAGACACGTCCAAGCAAACACACACATACAAATAAGTCTTTTTTAAAAATCTACACCCAGGTTGATGTGGGATTTTTGCTGTTTTGTTGTTATTAAGCAGTAGGATGCAATACCTAGCTTTATGGCATTTGCATTGTATGGGCCATTACAAGTCATATAGAAGTGATTTAAATCTATAGGAGAATATGTATAGGCTATATGTAGATTTATCTGCAGAACTTGAGCAACCAAGGACTTTGGCATATGCAAAGACTATGGAGAGATACTCTGAACAATATAGCAAAATGAAAAACTTTATATCGAGCCAGAATTATTCTATCTCCTAAGCTAACGTTTTTGTAGTGGAAGCCCACACCTAATTAAATCATAGTGACAGCAGCAGCACTCGAAATCATTATCTCATCATAAATGATCTGCCCACAACGAGGCGGGCCCAGACCTCACTGCTGGATTTGGCTTAGAACCAGCAGAATGCACTGGATAGGAACTCAGTCATCTTATGGGAGGGCTTATAGATATCATTTTAAAACACCCATTTTCTTAGAGGAGCAGGGATACAGAGACATAGCAACTCAGCATGGAAGTCACCTAGACTGGCTAATTTTATGTCAACTTGACACATGCTACAGTCATTTCGGAAGCAGGAATCTCAGTTGAAATAATGCTGCTACCGGACTGGCCTATAGGCAAGCCTGAGGTATATTTTCTTGATTGACAATTGACACAGGAGGGCCCAGATCACTCTAGGCAGTGCCACCACTGGGCTGGTAGGCCTGGGTGATATAAAAGAGGCAAATTCTAAGCCAGTGAGCAGTACTCTTCCGTGGCCTCCGCTTGCTTCAGTTCCTGCCCGTCTTGAGTTCTGACACTCACTTCCTTAGATGACGGAGGACACAATGCACATTCTGTAAGATGGAATAAACCCATTCCTCCACAAGCTGCTTTCCCACAGCAACAGAAACCTTAAACTAAGACATTATCATGAGTGCACAATGATTTTTAGCATATTCAGTGATATCGTTATTATAGAACATTTTACTGGTTTCAAAAAGGGTTTTAATTTTTTTTTAACAGGTACTGAATCTAGGGTGTCATATACTTTTGAATCCTTACAGATAAATCCTGGCTGAACTGCATCTCAAGCTTCCTTCTTCCTCCTTATTACAGAGACAGGTCTTACTAAATTGCCCAGGCTGCCCCTGACCTTGAGTTTCCCCTGCCTCAGCCTCTTAAGTATCTGAGATTACAGGCTATAGCACCAGGCCTGGCTCCAGAGGAATGTTAGGCATTACTCTTTTAATTCCTTCCTCCTGCTTCCAGGCCCAGGTAACCATGTCTCTGAGTATTCGCCTACCATGGGCACTTAGCATCAGTGAAATCATTCTTGTTGGTTTTTGTGTTTGGTTTGCACTTAGCAAAATGTTCTCAAGGTTTGTTCGCACTTGAATATGAGTCAGTACTTCCTTCCCTTCTGTGGCTGAACAACAGCCTATCGTACTGACAGATCATATTTCATTTATTTGTTCATCAACGACACATTTTAGTTGCTTAGTTTACATTTTCTACTTTTGGGCTATTGTAAATATCATGAGCATTCATGAATAAGTCTATGTGTGAATACATGGTTTCATTTTTTCTAGAAATAGAACCACTGGGTCACATGGTAACTCATGCTTACTCTCTTGAATGTCTTAGTCAGGGTTATTATTGTTGTGACAAATCGCCATGACCAAAGCAACTGGGAGATGAAAGGGCTTATCTGGCTTCTGCTTCGAAGGAAGTCAGGGCAGGAACTCAAACAGGGCAGGAACCTGGAGGCAGGAGCTGATGCAGAGGTCATGGAGGAGTGCTGCTTACAGGTTGGCTCCTCCTAGCTTGCTCAGCTGGCTTTCCGAGAGAACCTAGGACCACCAGCCCAGGAATGACACCACCAATAATGGGCTGGATCCTCCCATCAATCACTACCTAAGAACATTCCTACAGGCTTGCCTACAGCTCTATCTTATAAAAGCATTTCCTTAATTGAAGTTGCCTCCTCTCAGATGACTTAGCTGTGTGAAGTTGACATTAAACTACCCAGCACTAGGAATTTTTAGGTCATCGAGAAGGCAGCCTCAGCACCTACACGCCTGCCAACTACATATGAGCACTCCAACTTCTCCACATCAACACAACTCACATTCTAATGACAGCCATCCTAGCAGGGGTATAGAGTACTGAAATAAAAGGCAGTTTGTTACAATTAGGACCCCTTGTCTGTAGCCAGGAAAAAGCACTTAGATTGGGTTCACCTGGAAACTCCTGACAGGAAGCGAGGCCTTCCCCAGGCTGTGGTGATGGATGCTTTTAAAGGCGAAGCTGTCCTCACAGGGCATCCTGGCATTTGCTAAGACCCCACGAGGCAGGTTTCCTCAGCAACGCTCTGGCAGCGACCCACCAGCCTCCAAATACTTTTGACATCAGGGAAGACTTTTCTTCAACTCTGCCCTTGTCACTAAAACGCATCATCATCGTACCTGCAGACACTCGGGGTGGTTCTCCGCAAAACGTCTCCAGTCTTCCAAGGAATAATGCTTGTGAACGGCTGTAAACATGGCGTGCTAGGAAACAAGACAGTTTGTCAGGAAGGAGCCAGGGAAGGAGGCCCTCCACCTGCCTGCGAGATAAGCCCCAGACAAAACCATCTGCGGCTGCCATTCAGGCCTCATTTGCTCTGAATGTGTTCCTAGCAGCCAGCAAGCAAACCAAGGTGCATGCGGTGAAACAAGGGATCACAGAAATGCTCTCCAGCTCCGACAGGATGTAGACAATGTGTGTTCAGCCAGGGATAGTCTGCCAAGAGGCAAGAATAAAGGAGCTTTTCCACCCAGATGGCTCACCTAGTTTTTGCCCACACCCAAGGCAGGTCAAGAACATATAGGTAGACGGTCCTCCAGACCAGGACAGTGACCATCCTAATGCAAGCTTCTGCTCAGCCAAACAAAGGACCTTGCCCTAAACCCAAAGCCTCCACCAATACACAGCCTAAATGCTTTTTTCTGAAAGCTAGGAAGGGAGGGCGTTATGTAAATAATAACTCTACATCTTTGGCTATTGAACCAGACTTGACTACCATGGGGCCAACGCTTTGCTGACACAATGGGATTCTCAGAACAGCTTTGAACAGAATTATTGTTGTAAGAGAAATGGGACTTAAGGAAGTTAAGAAATATATAGCAAAGCTGGGTAAGGCTAAAACTCTAGCACTCAGTGCCCTGAAGGCTGAGATGGGAAGTCTGGTGGCAGCGGAAGACCAGTCAGAGCTAGAGGACAAGATGAGGGGCATAGGGCAGAGGAGGAAGAAATAATTCATTTAGCAGTCAACATCAAACGTCCCTCCTCTGAGGCTTCCTTTCTGACTTCTGAGTCACCCCACACCTCCAATGCCTTACTCTGAAATTCTCTGACTCCCTTAATTCACACCGTCTGCGGATCCTAAAAATAGAAAACTCACGGAACCCACACACGGCGACCTCTGCCAACGCAGGCGATGGCATTCCCGGAGAACCTCCCAGTGGAAGTGGGAGGGGCACGGATACCACTCAAGCGCACAGACAACCCAGACGGGTGTTGCTCCCTGAGCCCCACACCCATTTATACTGTTAATTGCTATCAACGATAACTATAGTCAGGCACCTGAGAGAATCAACTTCCACAGAGGAAAGGTTCGTTTTGGCTTGCTCTGTCGAAGGGTCCGTTGCTCTTGGGGCTGTGGCACGCCAGCATATAATGGCGGGAGTACAGAGCAGACCAAAACCATTCACCTTATCCCCAGTCAGGGAGGAAGGACGAGAGAGGAAGACACTGGGGACCCACACTCCCTTTCAAGGCCACTCCTAAAATGACCTAAAGACCTCCTGCCAGGCCCCATCACTTAAGGGTTCTACTGCCCGGAAAAGTACCACCTTGGGAAAATCCCTTTAACACATGGACCTTCAGGACACTTGCTCCCGCCACAGCTCCCGCCGCAGCATGCACGGAACATCATCACGAGCAGTCATTAATAAGACAAGCAAGGATAAGTTTGGGAGGGAAAACCACCACATCCCTTTAGCAATTCATTCATTCGCCTCAGACCCCTCTCTGCAGAGCTGACAGTCACACGACAATCCTCAGTCAGATGGATGACCTCCAACTCCACTTTCTGAGTTTATAATTTGAGACTCTCTTCCCCCCTCATCGCCGCTTGATAACGAATCCAGCGCCTCCCGCAGTCAGACCTGCCACCCACAGGGAGCTGCTTTTCTGACTAATTGCATTTATACGAGCAGAAACAGATACACATCTCCACGCTCCTCATCAGGAGACACTCCGGTCTCCGAAGTGGAAGATTCTCACCCCCAACACACAGCTCTGTGAGGCAGCAAATACCTATGACTGGTGTCCCTCCATTTCTCCTGAGGCCAAGACACTCGTCAAAAGACACCCTGAACTTGCCTTGGGGTCCATCGTTTGAGAGATGTGTCCGGCAGATTCTGAACTCACTTTGGGGTTATGCCTTGCCTCTCTACTTGACTGAAGGCCCTGGGACGAGATGTCCCTCCTCTTTCTCTGTCTGCCTCAGTTTCCTCATCTGCAGAAGAAGGCTACCCCCAAGAAATTATGATAAGAATTGAGAGATACATTTACAGCGTAAACAATAGCACCCCACCAACACAGTGCATTACGTGCTACATGCAGAGTGGCTGTCTTTGTTTTTAAGGGGATGGGCCTCTTCCATATGGCATTCATCCTGCTGCCTAAGTTCCTTTTGAAAGCCTAATTTTTAAAACCATCATAGGTATCTTCACAGAGGAAACAGCTAGACCATTTCACAGAGGACAGAGTTTATATGTGGCCTATCTTCTGACTACAGAAGCAGGAAAGGCATGTCTCTTGTAACAATCAGATTCAGTAAGGAATGACTCCAGGCACCTGACGCACACACAGCCAAAAAGCCGAGGATGTAGTGACGTAGTTGAATTCCTACCTGTGACATCACCACAGCCATCTCAAATGTCCCCACAGTGTCCATGTTGGCTACAATGATGGGAATCCCTGAGTAGGTCTGCTTTGAGTTTCGAAATGTAAAGGTTCGCTCAAGATCCACCTGTAGGCAAAAGGGAAAGAAATGAGAATAAGCTCTTTATGTAACACATGCAGGATCCCCAGTGTTCAGAGTGGGTGGGGAGGACACCAAGGATGGGTTTGTTCCTCAGTCCCTAGATTCTCTTAGGGCTCTGACCCGGTGTTCCAAGGACAGGACAGCCCCCAAGAAAACCAAGCAGCAGGCTATACCCACATACAAAAGCAGTGGCTATACCCACTGCCCCCACACACCCAAATAAGCCACCGGATATTCTATGAATCCCAAGATCTATGTGAGATCTTTCCTTCAGCAGCCTCCCAATATCTCTGCCATCTTCCTTCCTCACCTTGTCTCACTCTGGCCCTAAGCACACATAGGCACATTATTATTTCCCCCCACTTCCAAGCACTGGAGGGTGTTGGGATATAATAGTTGAAGATGTGTTAGATTTGTTTATACTGTGGAATATTTGTTTAATGATGCAAGGATGTGTTGTTGCATTCTATGCTGCATTTGTTTAACTCTGTAAAGCTGTGTTACTTTGCCTGTCTAAAACACCTGACTGGTCTAATAAAAAGCTAAATGGCCAATAGCTAGGCAGGAGAAAGGATAGGCGAGGCTGACACATAGAATAATTAGGAGGAGGAGTCTAGGCTCAAGGGAAGAGGGAAGAGAGAGAAAAGGAGAAGGACCGGAGGATGCCAGGGGCCAGCCACCCAGCCACATAACCAGCCATGTTATATAAGAAGTAAAGAATGGTATGCAGAATAGAGAAAGGTAAAAGCCCAGAGGCAAAAGGTAGACAGGATAATTTAAGAAAAGCTAACAAGAAACAAGTTAAGGCCAGGCATTCATAAGTAAGAATAAGTCTCCAGATGTTTACAAGCTGGCTGGCAGGCCACCAAAGAGTAATAATAAAATAAATAAATAAATAAATAAATAAATAAGCACAGAAGGGCCCATTCCTCTTCTAGGGAGATCCATCCACTCTTCCCAAACAGCAGTGACCTTGCTTCCTGCTCTTGCCAGGCCCTTTCCATTTCACCATTCACCTAGAACCACACTCCAAATTTTACCAGCACTAAGCCACAACCCTTAATCCCTTCGCCTTTCAGGCTCCAGCAGCTGGTTGGTAATTATGAGAGCTGGGAGGAGATACAGTGCAGCCATCTGTTTCTGCATAGAAACACTTGTTCCTCTGACTTGCAGACAGCTGTAGGGAGGGCCCACCAACTCTCCTGGAACTCCAATTTCAGTGTGCACGTGACTATGAGCTGTCAGGAACCCAGTCTGATGTTCAGCCAGGACTGTGGGCTTAGTAGGATGGTGTGCTAGAGCTGGGTCTGAACAAAAAAAAGCTGGCAGAAGTCAGGCAGTGATGGTGCACGCCTGTAATCCCAGCACTCGGGAAGCAGAGGCAGGCAATCTCTGAGTCTGAGGACAGCCTGGTCTACAAAGCAAGTTCCAGCACTTTTTACACAGAGAAACTCTGTCTCGATAAACAAAAACAAACAAACAAAAAAGCTATCAGAATCAGAATTCCCCTTGTGACCTGGGGCAAGTTTATGCTTGAGATTATCACAGAGTGGCTATTCCAGAGACTCCATTTCTCAAATTCATGTCTGCCTGGGTTTGACCAGTGGATACCAAATGAGAAACTGGAGGATGCTGGAGGACAAGGGTAAGGTGAGATCCAGAACCCCTCTCCTTTGGGCAGCTTCTGCAGGGCTGCTGCGGCCCCTTCAGATCTGTCCGTGTACACTCCTGGTTCTAGTTTTCCCAGCAAAGCCCACCCCCCCCACTCACTGCCACCCTAAGGTGCCATTGTCAATCTCTCAGTCACATCAGGAAGAATTCTGGTCGAGATGCCTCAGTCAGCATGAGAGCCTCAGTTAGGAGCCCCAGCCATGAGGAGATGGGAGGTGGAACCGGTGGATTCCTTAAAGCTCTTAGGCCAGGCTAGTCTGATAAACAGTCAATTCCCAGACTTTGTCTCAAACAAAAGACAGAAGGACCCTAAGGATCCACAACCTAAGATTATCCTCTGAACTCCATATATGTCTGTGCACACACACACACACACACACACACACACACACACCCCACACACAGTGTGGATTAATAAATCTATTGTTTGAAATATTCTGCATCATTCATTCCTTTGACTGGACCTGGACCCTGGAGGTAGGTGTGTGGCCAAGGTGAACTGGCAAGAAAAAACTTGAACTTTAGGCTTCTAAAATAATTTAGTCCTACATGCACCCTGGTTGCCTGAGGACCAGCAATCGCCATCTTCAACTAGTATTCTCTAAATGTTTCTTTTGTTCCATTCCTTCCAACTTGCACTTTACAGTCTGAATTAAGTGGAAGCACACTGTGCTGTATCCCAGAGCCGTTATCCTTATTTGTTTTTTTGCTTCTCCAAGTCCGGAAGGCTTCCTGGCTAGCAGATGTCATAAAAGGGCTGTGCTGGCCCTAAACAGCAGTCAGCGAGAGGAAGCGAGATGCTGTAAGTCCATGAACCTCCTAGGCAGTGTTCACCCCTTCCTGAATGTCCTCAGTAGGAAAGCAGGTCCTGCTGACACCCTGCAAGCTGACTGAGGGAGGCCCCTCCTGGCAACTCTGCGCTATTAACTGACCTTCCTGCTCTTTGCCCAGACTGAAAACAATCAAGAATTCCTGGTCTCAAATACTCTTGTAATTCTGCCCAAGATGCGTTGGAGGAAAGAGCCTCTGTCCCCCATGAGATCACAATGGCTTTTTCTTGGCACACCAAAACCTATCTACATCACACACACACACACACACTTCACAGAAAAGGGAAGCTTTGACAATGAACCCTTCGCTGCCTATCTTCACAAGGCAGGTTCTTGGGGCTGGAGGTGGGGAGTTCAGCAACAGAACTTGTATTTAGCATATGCCAGGCTCTGCCAACAAACCCCTCTCCCCCAAAATGACACAAGGCAGAACCTTCCCACTACTGAGTTCTAAGAATGAGAAATGAAAGTATCTGCCCTAACCTTATCTACCCAACACACACACACACCCAAGACAGTCCACTCGCTCAGAGAGATAAATGCTATCCCTCCAGCTTCCCTGGCCTTTACTCCACCACAGCGGCTGAATGCTCCAGATACAGCACCCCCAAAGCCCCACTCAATGTAGCAAACTCCCCTCCCGCACCCTCACAATAGCTTCTTGTCCTTTTCGGTGAGTCAGTTTGATCATTACCCAGCATTCTGCAGGTCTAAAGTACACACCGCCACCTTTCTGAGCAGTTCAGTGTAGTGAGTCAAGCTCCGGGAGTCACTTCAGGAGATATGTGCTAACCTCCGCCACTACCCTAACAAAAACAGTCACACCTGGACAGGACAGGAAGGGACCAATATGCGGTGGCACAGGGAACCGGCCCTGCCTCCCACCCACACTTCCTTCTCAATTCCTTAAGGACACACAAGGCAATGCCTGTATGTTAAGCTCCTTAGACACCAACCAAGGCATGCATGGCCAGAAACAACTGCCACTTGGTTTGGGGTAACAAAGGGTACTCTAGAAGCATGCCTGGCCTTTGGGAAGACATTCTGGGAAGCAGTCCACAAAGGCCCCAGGATCAGATTGAAATCTCGTGGGGAGGGGCGTCCAGTGCACTGACACCTGGAACGGGCCTTCTGGATGCTGATGTGGTCCAGGCAGCTTCTGCATCAGATAGGGCACACAGCTCAGCACCAGTGCGAGCCACAGTCTCTGAGTGAAAAGCGCATCATTTGTCAGGGCAGTGCTTCCCACAGAGAAAGCCCTCTTGATGAGCTCGGCAAACATGTCAAGACTGCCCCAAGCTGCATCCATCAAAGCCTCTGTGTTGGAAACTGTATATTTTTGGAGTGTCTCCCTAGGTGAATCTGCTGCACTCATGACTAAGAACAAATCTGGGCAAATCTAATTCCACAAAGCCAAGTTTACATAGGCCGTTACGGGTTGAATTGTGGCTCCCCCAAATGACACCAAAGTCCTAACGCTAGTACCTGTGAACGGAACCTTATTCGGAAATAGGATCTCTGCAAGTGGCCAAGTTGAGATGAGGTCACGTGGGGGGTGGAATGGTTCTTCTCAAAAGGGGAAACACTTGGACACAAACACACTGAAGGAGGACAGCTTACTGAGGTGATATTGGTTGAGGGTTAGATGGGACATCTACATGCCAAGGAGAGCCAGAAGTGACCAGCAATCCAGCAGGAGCTGGGGAGATGCGTGGGGCAGATGCTCGCTCCATCTCACAAACAGCTTTCCGGAGAAACCTACCGCATAGACACACCTAGGTTGGGGGGCTTCCAGTGTGCCCAGCTGGGAGATAAAGCCTCTTGACCGAGTGGCCTCTTCTGTAATTCTGTGTCATAGCAGCCCCAGGACACAGTGTCAAGGCAATAAAATAAGTAGTGACAGAACTCAGACTAAAACTGGAACCTCCTTTCTTCTGTATAGTCTCTCCTCCCTGTCCTGTTCTCTATTCCCTATGGGTCGGACTGTTGCAGATGGGGACCACTAGCCCCATCTCTCCTTAATGGTCCAGCAGTTATTATGGAGCTGTTAGCAGATGGGAGGGCGTTTGCATTTGCCCTGTCTTAGGACAAGCGGGTGGTTCTCTGCTGCGAATACTTTCCAGTATCCAGCTTTCAAATCCCACATTAATATGTTAAAAAAAAAAAAAAAAAAGAAAGCAAAATTCTCTTGTTGGCTGGGGCAATGGTTCAGCCTTTAAAGTGCGGGCCATACAAGCATGAAGATCCAAGTTCGATCCCCAGAACCCAAGAAAAAAAGTTGGGTATAGCAGCACACATGTAACCCCCAGGGCAGGTGTGGGGAGGGGAGAGGGGGGTGGAAACCAACAAAGATGCTTGGAGCTTATTGGCCAGACTAGACTGCTTGGCAAGTTTCAGGCCAATGAAAAACCCTGCATCGAGATCTTTTTAAAAAATAAAAAATGATTTAAAAAAAAAGGTGGACAGTGCACGCACATGTGTGCGCACACACATACATGAACATGTACACACAAGCAAAATTCTTACTTAAGAACTGGGCTCGGGTGGTAAAGCCAGGGTTGGCTCCCCTGGAAGGACACAAACCCCATGTGTATCGGATAAATTCAAAAGTCTTAACGCAATCAACCCATCCCGGGGCGCTTAATTACAAGACAACAAAAGAAACACTGAGATGGAACATCAGCGAGGCTAAGGTGGTTCCTTGAGCAGTGCCAGGCAGGCAAGTCACATTAGGTGAGCTCATCCACCCAGCAGGAGTGCTCCAGCCCCAGGAGGCTAGCCCACAGACAATTGGAAGAGCCACACCACTTAACACTTCCTCACAAAAGCTACTGCGTGAGGACAATCCTCAAGGGCACCAGTCCTCACTGCGATGGGTATACACAGATTGCAAGATTCAATCCATGTGTGGACATTAAGAGTGGCAATCAGCACAAATTATAAAACCAAGTGAGGCATGACATCATACCGTTCACATAAATATTAATATTGTACCTTCTCCTCAAGAGTCTTCCTAGTTCAGAAAACGCATAGATCCTCGCTTTGTGCCGATAAATATCTATTTATAAATAAGTGGCTAACACCTAAATAAATTTTAAACAAACATTAAGAAAACAAGCAATGAGGCCGCCAGATTATTCACCCTAGTCTGAGTTTAGTTACTTACTAGCTACCAGTTTCTCTAAAACAGTCCAGGTGTTTTCTCTAGTGTTATTTTTGTTCCAAAGGCTTGCCTGGTTCTTTGGCATCTGAAAGTACGCGAGGAAGGACAGGCCCAGGGGCATCTAATCTGGATGGATAAGGGTCCATTCCCCCCCCCCCCCCCATACACACACCATCACCACTTCCTGTCTAGAGCAATTCTGGTTCCAAGCAGCCTATGCCCCTGCTTAGGGAAAGTCACTTGGTTCTACTTGTTCATTGGCTAGCGCAGGAGGCGGACCTAATTCGGTAGCAACCCTCAGCTGGCAGCTGCAGGCTTGGCAGTCCAGCCTGGGCACCTGAACGAGTTGTTTGCTGAGGGGATTTATTTCTGGTCTTGTTTGCAAAGCACGAGGGATGGGCGGGCTAACTGGCTTAGCTCCGTCGTGTTTACCCAAACTCAAATCCAGTCCTTTCAGGTTGTTTCTCCTTTCCTCCTCCCACCCCCCTGAGAGTGGCTAAGCCACTGTCCAGGAACAATACTTCTCCAACCGGCTCCACCTTTCCAGAAAACTATGTGTCCTTTAAGTTCTGACCTCGGCAGTCTCCCGACTCCACCTTTTTCCAAGCTTTTCTCCCAAATGGCCCGAATGACCCTCACCCCAGCGCGTCAGTTTGCCTCACTCCGGGCTGGGACTGCAGACTGTCTGGTACCGCAGAGTGACACCAAGAAGCAGGTCCCCAAGCTCAGCACCCGCAAGACCATTTAAACTCAAAAAGAAAAATCTTAAACTTGAGTGCTGGGGGCGCCCGGTTTTTATTGTTTTGTTTTGTTCTGTTGTGTTCACAACATTCCACCACAGGACCTAATGCTAAATCAGCAGAGCCAGGTCCCAGCACCAGGGGACACTGCTCCGAATCCCGAGAGTCTGCAGTTGAGTTTCTTTTCCTTTCCATCCTAGCCTCACCGTTTCCTCTCCTCCCTGAGTGCCCCTCCTGAGAGCCATGCCTTCTAAAGTCACCGGCTACTTGATTGGTTGATCTTAGCTGCTCTGCGGTTGAGTCTCAGTATGAACTTCCCCAAGCCCACCAACGGTAGACAGACGCATTTATAATTCCAGGCCCGAACTAGGCCCCCTTGTCACTGACCCTAAAGACAGTTCAGGTGTAAGAGAAAACCGACTGGCCTTCCCCTTTCTCAGAGCGGGGAGAGGGTGTGACACCTCTGCCTCTGGCACAGATGAGGCACCCTGTGCCATCCCCTGCACCCACTTCCCCCTTGCCAGCCCGAAGGCGGCATGCCAGCAGCCCCCACCTCGGCTCGGCTCTTGAGGCTGCTCCGCTTAGGTCGCAGCAGAACATCCTTGAAGTCGAGTTTAAGGTCTGCATCTATGCGGGGCATGGTGCTGGCGGTGTGCGGCGGCTTCCTGCGGCGGAGGCTGATGCCGGCGTCAGCCAGGAGCTGCGGGGCGCGTGCGTACAGCGACGCCGGGATGGCTGTGCGCAGACCGGTGCTCCGCAAGCCCGGTACGTACGCGGTGTTCTTATGCCGGTGTGCTCCGAGCCCCCGGCACGATTCCACGAGCCTGGCGCCCGTGGGGCGCGCCCCGCCCCGGCCTCTAAGCTCCGCCCATAGCCTGGTCTCCTGGCTGAGCCCCTCCTCCGGGCCCAGCTCCCTCAGCCTAAACTCAACCAGCTCCTTCTGCCTAAACCTAGCTGTGAACCTGGACTCTGCCCGGCAGGACCCTAAAACCTCTCTCTGGGCCGGGCTGAGCCAGCGAGATGCGTGCGAATTAGAGGAAGACAAGAGACAAAGTCTCCCGTTCCCTATAGTGTACCCTAGTCTGACTCATTGAGGGGACCAAAGGAGAAACCGGGGGAAGGGGGCATAGTATGTAAACCAGGATGGCCTCAAAATCAGAGAGTTCTGCCTGCCTTTGCCTCCGTGGTGCTGCCTCCTGAGTGAGTGCTGGGATTAAAGACGCGAGTCACCAAGCCTGGCTGTAGAATCTGACCTTTATCCACGGCAAAAACGTCAGGTCCAATGGGAACTCCCGATCCCCTCTCCGCGGGGGGGGGGAAAAAAGAGCAGGCCCACTGACTTAGTCGAAAATGACAGTCTGAGCTCAGCGCCCCCAGAACTCTGGCAGGGTAAACAAAAAGATAAATCAAACTTACATGCAGCATTCCTCGGGGAAACCCCGAGAAAGGGTCACTTCCTTTGGTGTATACCTGTGATAAGCTAACCTCCAGGTGGCTCCAGCCCCTAGTAACATGCACTTCTTATGAGTGCCAAGACGCCCACGAGAGCCTTCAGGTTCTTCTCATCTTCCCAGCTCCTCCCCCACTATGCTGCTCCCCAGCTAATCCACCCTCTTTCCTCGGCAATGGCAACGTAATGGGCAGGACTCTCCCAGCATTTTTTGCTCTCTCTCTCTCTCTCTCTCTCTCTCTCTCTCTCTCTCTCTCTCTCTCTCTCTCTCTCTCTCTCTCTCTCCCCCCCTCCTTCTCTCTCTGTCTCCCTCCGTGTCTCTTTTGCCCCCCTGTTATTTTCTTACCCCCCCCCATAGCCCTAGCCCTAGCCAGTCTGCTTTTTTTCTTTCTCTTCCAGATGCCCCTCTGGCTGTTCTCACCCCCCCCACACACACACACACCATGTGCAATAAAAACTGTGGTGGTTTGAATAAGAAGAGCTCCCATTGGCTCATACGTCTGAAGGTTTAGTAACACAGAATGGAATCCTTTGAATGGATCAGGATTAAAATGTGTGTGTGCTTTGTTGGAGGAAGTGGGCCACTGGGTTTGTTTCTGAAGCCCATGCCAGGCCCAGTGTCATTCCATCTGCCCATACTGTCTGTCATGATGACCCTTTTATAAGAGGTGCCTTGGTCCTGGTGTCTCTTCACAGCAATAGGACAGTGACAAAGACGAGAACCTTCTCTGGAACCACGGGGCAGCCATCCCATCACCTCAGCGATTTCTTTACTGCACACTCACTTACAAAAAGGTTAAGGATCTTGGCTTCCCTAATTTCACTCCCAGTGTGCCCACCACCACGCGTTGAGCCAGGCCTCGAGTGTGCTGAAGAAGAAGCCACTGGGAGGTTAGCAAAACAGAGGGCGGGGGCAGTGTAACTCAGTGACGAAGTGCGTGCCCGGTGTTCCAGCTGGAGCAGAAACATGAAAGAGGGAGCAGAAAAAAAGGAAAATGAGACTTATGTAAATGAAGTGTCTTGGGGCCTCTACCTAGTTTGAAAACTTGGCTACGTTCCAGTTGGGTGACCTTGAGGGTGTCTAACTTGAGTGTTTTCATAGGGTGAAAAGAAACATTAGCGCAGGGGTGGTGGAACGAGCCTTTAAGGCCAGTACTCCAGGCAGATCACAGATATCTGTGAGGCCTGCCTGATCTACATAGCGGTCTACATAGTGAGTTCCAGGACAACCAGGCCTTTATGGAGAGACCCTGTTTCAAAAAAAAAAAAAATACAATTAATTATTTGACAAATTTTAGCTGTCTTAGTTACTTTATATTGCTGTGATAAAACACCCTGACCGAGAGCAATGTGGGGGAGAGAGGGTTTTTTTTTTTTTTTTTTTTAACCCACAGGTTACAGCCCCTTATCAGGAAAGTCAAGGCAGTTACTGAAATAGATACTGTGGGAGGCATTCCCTTTGCCAGCTTGCTCGCCATAGAGAAGCTCAGCTGGCTTCTTATGCCCAGGCCACCTGCCCACAGTGGGCTGTGCCCTCCCACATCAATCATCAATCAAGAAGATGTCCCACAGACTTGTCCACAGAGCAATCTGATTGAGGCAGTTCCTCAGCTGAGGCTTCCTAGGTGACTCCAGCTTGCGCCACGCGGACAAAGCCTTACCGGCTATTTGGAGTCACATGTTCCTTATATTGTAGAGCCTCGATTGCTAACTGCACCTGACGGGACTTGTCAGCAATAGCAGGAACAGAGACACAGCACCATGCTGTCCCTTGCGGCAGCCCCAATTAAGTGTCTTACTTAGCATTAACCATATATCCCATTTTGGTGGATAGACTGACATCTCAAAAGGGCACTAAGAAACGCCTCCCTTTCCATGTTTTGAATGGGTGACGTTATAGGGTACCTTGGGTGTGATTACAATCTGATGAGGCTATAAAACTTTTTAGTTTTGTTTCAGTGTGTGTCCTTTTACCAGAAATGTGGCTAAAGAAGTTATTACTAGAAAATTGCAGGTTCACAGCTGGAAAAGAAAAAGCAATTTAAAGAAATGTCCTGAGTTTCTTTTCTGTTGCTGTAATAAGATACTGTGACCAAGGCAACTTATAGAAGAAAACAGAGTTGATCTGGGGCTTACCGTTTCAGAGGGTGAAGTCCGTGACCACCAAGGCAGGGGCAGGCAGGTAGGCATGGTGCTGGAGCAGTAACTGAGAGCTTAGATCTTGATCCACAAGCACAAGGCAGGGAGAGGTGGGGTGGAGGGGTGGAGGTGGAAGAGAGAGAGAGAGAGAGACTGGGAACAGAATCATTTGAAACCTCAGAGCCCAACCCCAGTGACACACCTCCTCCAACAAAGCCCAAGGGCCCTAATCCTTCCCAAACAGTTCCTCCAACTGGGGGCCAAGCATTGAAATATTTGAGCCTGTGGGGATCACTCTCATCCAAACAGCCACACAAATGTTCATCCTGTTGGAATTTTTGATTCTCAACACGGTAGGAGACTTCAGCCAGACTCCAGGGTGAGCGGCTCCCTTTCCCTTTCCCGGTTCCATAATTTCCCGTCTTTCTAGCCTGCCTCAGGACCACTTTCATTTCCTTCCTGTTCTCTGCAGGCTTGCCCATTCTCTGGGAACTAGCATGTGGCCCAGCTCATCATAAAAACCCTGCTGCCCAGTAGTCGCCTTAACACAGGTGTCCACAAATGATGGAGGTCTTAGCCCATCCCACGTGCTCTCATTATCTTGCCCCCCCCCCCAAGCTCATGCATTTTCAGGGAAGGAAATCAAGCTTATCAAAGAGAATGAAAATGACCATACTGGGGCCAGCCAATGAAATATTTAAGGCCCTTTACAAACCGTGGAAGCCAGCCAGCGAAATAAACAAACAAAAAAGCAAATGTGCTTTGTGTTCATTGTCACGGTCTTAAAGGAAAGCACTGGGGGGGGGGAGGGTCTGTCCTCAGGTACTCTCTGGTACCGAAAAGACAAACGTCCACAGAGGTCAAGCCTTGTCTTCTCTTTCTGGAATAGTCTATCTGTTCCTTTAAAAACTCTGTATGGGTTCTAATTCTTTCCCACACAGCTGTGTAGATATTTCCTTCAGACTGGAACAGTCTCTTCTGGAGAGAAGAGGTTTACGGGCTCAGGAAACAAACAAGACTCTCAGGGTCCCTCCCTGAGTTACATAGGCTACATGCAATTTCTGGGGAGAAGGGGACCCCAGTGCCGTAGCTGTCTACAAGTCCCACAGGAGCCATGGGGCTCTTCTGAGTTTGCCTGCTCTGGGCTGGGACTTTTCAACAATCCAGCTGATTTTGAGTCACCCAAGCTCCTGGATGTAAGGCCAGTAACGTCTTTTATTGGTTTACCAAGCTGGATCTAGACATATACTTCCCAGGAAGAGAACCCTGACACAGGCCATCAGGGACTCTGCTTCTATCTGTGTCTTCAATGCTTTACAGACACCAGCATGTTCGTTATCTGGCTGGCAGAGCCAGCTTCTCTATAGACTTATACAAAACACAGGTTCCAAAGCCTGGACCCCACCCAGGGTTATTGAAGTAAAATTTGCATATCGTCAGATTCTCAGTGATCGTTATGCTTGATAAGACAGGAAACTCCCAGCAAGGCGGCTGCCCGGGGTCATTCATTAACTTTTATAAATACTGACCGAGCAGCTGGAGCCACATATGTTAGGAAGAAACCGTATTTCATTGCATTTGCTTTATCTTTTTGCTAAATAAGATTTTTTTTAAATCACATTTATTTTATTTTTTTATTTTTATTTTTCAAGACAGGGTTTCCCCGTGTAGCTTTGGAGCCTATCCTGGAACTTGCTCTGTAGACCAGCCTGGCCTCAAACTCACAGAGATCTGCCTGTCTCTGCCTCCCAAGTATTGGGATCTAAGGCATTCACCAACACTGTTTGGCTAAAATCACAATTATTTTATTTATGTTGGGGTAGTGGGGTGGGTACAAATGGAGGCCAGAGAACAACGAGCTTTGGGATTGAAGTCAGGTCTTCAGGACTGGCAGCAAGTGTGCCTACCCACTGAGCTATCCTGCCGTTCCCTAAATAAGATTTTTAAGCAATAACCTAAACAAAAAAAAAAAAAACAAATTTTAAAATGTATATTAATAGTAGTTAGAATGTTAATTATAATTAAATAGTAACTAAAAATTACTCAGAATGCCCAGATTGCTACTTCTGTGAATGAATCAAAACTTCTGCCAAGGGACCAACAGTACATATTTAACACCAGCTCCTTCCTCTGAGTGACAGGCACCTTGCAAAGAGTTTTATTCTATTTTCTTGACTCATCCTCACAAACCCTATGCCATTAACACCCTGGTCACCATCACCATCATATATACAAATGTGTAAACCCAGGCTTATAAAAC